GAATGTGGAGGAAGTGATGTTGTATGAGTATCAGAGCCTAGGCCTCAAAAGACCTGGCAGCTTCCACTGTTACTCTGTGGGGACCCAACCACCATGTAAAGAAGCTTGGGTTGGGGGGACTTCCCTGGTGGTCCAGTGGTTAAGATGCTGTGCTTCCACTGCAGGGGGCGCAGGTTCGATCCCTGGTTGGGGGATCAAAGATCCTGCACGTTGCGTGGCGCGACCGAAAAAAAGAAAGAGAACTTTTCTTTCTTCTTGACTCCAATAAAGATCTCAGAATTTGGTATAATTTGGATCATGTATCTATTCTTGAGCCAGTCACTATGGCTGAGGGTTTGGAATATGCTGATTGCCAGACTCAGATCCATGTGGTAGCCACTTTCCAAGATGACCCCCAATGATCTTGCCTTCTGATATTCATGTCCTTTGTCTCCTCCATGCTGAACAAACGCTGGCCTTTGTGACCAACAGAAATATGGATGAAGTCATGCCATGTGACTGCTAAGGCTAAATCATAGAGGCAAAGCTGCTTCTGCTTTGATCTCTTGGATTGCTCCCTCTGAAGGAAGCCAGGAACCATGTTGTGGGGATACTCAAGCAGCCCTGTGGAGAGGAACTGTGGCCTCTGGCCAACAGTTGTTACCAACTTGCCAGCCACATGAGCGGATCCACCTGGAGGTGGGTTCTTTAGCTCTGATCAAGCCTTCAGAGGAGTGCAGTCCCAACTGACATCTGATTGCATCTTCATGAGAGACCCTGAGCCAGATCCACCCAGCCAAGCCAATTTGGCATCCTTAATCCACAGAAACCATGTGAAATAATAAATAATTATTACTGTTCTAAGCCACTGAGTTTTGGGGTGATTTGTTGCACAGCAATAGATAACTAATACAGTTGTACACCCCTCAACTCTGGGTGAAGGGTCAGTCCTACTCCATGTGGACTGAAGCGGGAAGGATGGTTCTCTGAGGAGTAGTCAAGCTGCTGTGAGTGGGAAAACAGGAAATGAACACTGTGTGGGCCACACAACAGCTAACCCCAACAATGGGTGCTCTGCAAATACACACTTGCTGGAGGATTGAAACACAAAGGCAATACTGATTCATTTTAGGTGACTCAGAGCATCTGGGCCAGGTGGGACTCAGTCCCAGATATTCCTGTGCTGATTTTCTAGCTCCAGCTCCTGACAGTTTTTCTCTTTAGTTATCCCTAGACTTGACTGATTATGAGCACCACAGACACTCGCCTCCTTTGCCAACCCAAATAATTGCTCTTAAAGTAAGTTAGTTGTTGTTGTGTTTCTTTTAATTTAGAGAATAGAGGCCCCCACATTCCTCCATACTTGTGTGTAACTAATACATGGTTTAAGGTTTCTCCTGTTAAAGTGGGTTTTTTTTAAATTTTATTTATTTATTTGGCTGCATCGGGACTTAGTTGCAGCACATGGGATCTTCGTTGCGGCATGTGGGATCTTTCCTTGTGCGTGGACACTAGAGTGCGCAGGCTTAGTTGCCGCGCAGCATGTGGGATCCCTGGTACCCCAACCAGGGATCGAACCCACAACCCCTGCATTGGAAGGCAGATTTTTAGCCACTGGACCACCAGGGAAGTCCCTATAGTGGCTTTTTAATTTCATTTCAGTTGGACATATGATAGCTCAGACAAGGATGCCTCCTTTGGAAGCTCACATTCCTCACTAATCTTTTCAGGCAAAGAAGAGAAAACAAAGATGAAATAAACATAAGGGTTAGGGCTTCCATGTTGGCGCAAGTGGTTGGGAGTCCGCCTGCCGATGCAGGGGACGCGGGTTCGTGCCCTGGTCCAGGAGGGTCCCACGTGCCGCGGAGCAGCTGGGCCTGTGAGCCGTGGCTGCTGGACCTGCGCGTCCGGGGCCTCTGCTCCGCGGTGGGGGAGGCCGCAGCGGTGAGAGGCACGCGTACCGCTAATATATATATATATATATATATATATGTATAAGGGTTAACACTCCAACTGATAGGGAGTCTCCTTCCTTCCTCCCTTCCTCCTCTTCTTCCTTTCTCTCCATTCAATTTTTTGAGCACCTACTATGTGCTTGCTATTGTCTGTATTATCTCATTAAGTCTCCTAATGATGATGAAGTGGGTATCAATGACCCCTTTTGACAGATGAGGAAACTGAGACATGTTTAGAGAAGTCAGGTGTCTTATTGGATGTTTTTCTCTTTTTATAGTCATGTTATTTAGCTCTAAAACTTCAGTGATATTAATACCCATCGGGAATGATGAGACCAATCCATACACTTTTGCCAGAAGTCCTATTTTAAGCTTTCTCTGTACCAAAGGCTGCCACACACTATTGTCTTCCAACCAACCACAAAGATACAAATTATATTTCCTGTGTGGCCAATGGATGTGATGCCAGAAGAAAAAAACATGGAGTTACTGGCACTTTTCTCCTGTCCCTTCCATATCACTGGATGTTCAGTTTGCCTGAAAAAATGATGTCAATAAAGGGAAGCATTCAGTGTTCTGACACAGCTTGCAGCATTCAGCTGCAGAATTCCTCCTGGACTTGAGATTATGAATGAGTAGGTTAAGGAAGGAGGTGGAAGCCTGGGATCCTAAGAACCCAGGTACCATACTTGTTTTTTCCAAGAGGTGGAACCATACCTGCTCTCCGCCCACCTTCCATTCTCTCTGCAAAAGCAAGAAGAGAGCTAAGGAGGGACAGTGGGCTGTTCCTAATGGGGGCAGAGTCTTGCGGCTGGGGGCGTGGCCCCGGGCCCGGCTTCCCGGCGGCAGTTGGCTTCGGGGGCGGGGCCGGGCCGAGGCTTCCTGTCTGCGCCTGCGGAATCGCAGTTTGACCCCGGAAGTGCCGGCGCTGTGGGAGCTGTCATCGTGGACCGCGGCGGCTGTGGCGGCGGCGGTACAGCGCCGGCAGTGGAGCCGCCGAGGTGAGTGCGTGGCTGGGCCCTGCCGGATGTGGGGCATCGGGCCTGGGAAGGGCCGCAGCCGTGCCTTACGCGGCCTCGGGCCTCCCTGCCTACACGGCAGGGCCAAGCGTTACACTGCCCCAGGGGCCGCGAGTCGCCCCGTTCCTCCTACCCCTCCACCGACCCCCGCCCAATTAGGCCGCCAGAGCTTAGAGTCTCGGATTCGAGGATCGGCCCGAGAGTGACCTTGGCCTTGGACGAGTCACGATCCTCCCACTTCACCCCGAGCTTCAGTTTCCTCAGCGTTCATTAATTCGTTCAACAAATATATGTCAGCGCCTTCCATGTGCTGGGCACAGATCTAGGTACTGGGGATACAAACAGAGCAAGACAGACAAGGCTCCCGCCCTCATGGAGCTTACAGTCTAATGAGCGGAGACAGTCAACGACAAATAAATGCGCTAGGTAATTAAAGATATGACAGTAACTAGGGGAGTGGATACTTTAGATAGGGTAGTCTGGTAAGGTCTCTGAGAAGAGTAATATTGAATTGAGACCAGAAGGGTGAAGACAGAAACTGAGGCAGCAGCATCCCTGGGGATGCTCCCAGGACTTATTGAAATTGGTCAATATGGGGCCCTTTCCTAATTTGTGGCATCTACTGCCCTGCTTGGCACTGAGGATGCATTGGTGGGGCACAGATATCATTACGGTCATGGTCCTTACCCTTTTGGAACTTAGAGTCCAGTCGTTGCCTAGTTAATTTCTATTCATACTTGAGATGAAAACTCAAAACTTCCTTGACATCCTCTCTCCCTCAAGTTAGTTCTCTCTGTTAAATGCTGTCATAGTCCCAAGGGCCTTACCTGCATAGCATACTCACGGTGTTGAGTTTTACTTGTTTGTATGGCTGTCTGGTTCATATCTGTCTTAACCATCAAGACTGTAAACTCTATGAAAGGCAGAATCAGGTCTGTTACTTGCCCGCCTTAGGATTCTCCAGGCAGGCTTCCATGCCTGGCACATAGTAGGTACTCAAAAACTCTTTGAATGGCCTATTAACACAGTTATTGAACACAGTGTTTGCTCTCCAGTGGTTCAAAGAAGGCCTCTCCTGCACCAAGTTATTATCTTCTCTTTCTGATGGTGTCTCTCCTCTACTTAAATGACGCCTCACTGCCTTCAAATGAAAGGCCAAAATCTTTAGCATAGCATTTGAGGCTCTTTTTAACATGGCTGCATCTTTCCTATCCAACCTCTTCTCTCCACTTCTGTCACCCGCTCTCTGACCTTGTGTTTTCAGCCATCCCAAATGTCTCCCTCTTCCTTCAGAGCCACAGGCGCTGAGCCTTTACTCATGCTTGCTCTTTGCTTGGAATGTCCTTCCTTTTCATCTCTTCCTCCTATCCTTCAACAGCCAGGTTGTAAGTCATCTTCTCTGTGACATCCTTCCTTTCTCTGCTGTGCTTGTTCTGGAAATTTCCAGTTACAGCTCTAACTACACGGAATGATAGTCATTTACATGCCCAGGACCCAGAATGTATTCAGTTAGTGTTTGTCGAGTAACTGAGGAAGCCCAAAGTGCTCTGCTTATGATTGGGACTTGAATAACTACAACAAGTGAACTTTACTGAGTGCTTATTATATGCCAAGTACTATCCTGATGACTTAGTACTGGTTACTTCTCATGCCAACCCTGAGAGCTTATGAGATTATGTGCTGTTATCCCGATTTTACAGATGAGGAAATCAAGGCTTAGAGATGTTAAGGAACTGTCTCAAGGTCTCAACATGGGTAGGATGGAGCCAGGATTTGAACCCAGGCTGTAGAACTATAAACTTTTCTTTCAACCATCACACCAGCCTGGGTCTGAACTACCCTTACAGGCACTGGCTTGTAGGAGTAGATTTCTTCCAAAAGCAGGTGCTGTCTCTACCTGTCTAGGCCTGAACTATGGGGCCTAGAATTATAAGGGTGGAGAGCCGCCTCCTCATTATGACTCTTTCCCCACCCTAGGTCTCCACACTGGACACTCCCACTACTGTCTTTGGAAGGTAAGTATGGAAAGGACTGGGCTTGTGACTTCTGCACTGGTGAGCCAACCACTGATGTTTCCAGCTGCCCTCCCAGCATCGCTGAGGGGTTAGGAAAGAAGTATTTTTAGCATCAGCACAAGAGACCCAAGTGTCCAGGCACAAGAGCTGGGCTTCAGTTTCAACTTGGCCACTCATGTATTTACCTGAGCAAATCAGGGCCCCTCTTAGGACATCTGAGCATAATAATCCTTGTCGTTCTTATCTGGGTTATTGCAAAAGGCTAGTAAGATAGTAACTTGATTAGAAGTAATGTATATACAACAGATGGTGTTATCTACATGTTGCAAAGATGAAAGATGAAAGCTCAGACACAGGGACCATGTGTCTGATCCACTATCCACTGCGATCCTAGAGCTGGAACAAGCCTCGAGGACTAGACAGACTGGACCTCTGTCTTTGCATCCCATGTGAAGATGGATATCTTCACAGTCTTTAAAGCAGCCGCTGAACCAAGGTTCCTCGTATACCAAGCTGCTTCCTACCTCCTTACCTTTGCTCCTGCCGTTTCCTCTGCCTGGGACATCCTTCTTCCCTGGCCAGTCTCCACTCTCAAGACTCAACTCAGGCTCTCCTGAGCCTTCAGGCACTCCTCTAGAAATGCTTCTCCGACAGCCACAGCCCCCACCAGCTCAAGTGCACTAGACTCAGTACAGCGAATGGTTAAGAGCCAGCGTGCTTCACCAGCCACTAACTCTGAGACCTAGGGCAAGTTTCTTATCTTCTCCAAGCCTCTGTTACCTCATTGATAAAATGAAGGTAATAATAGTACCAACCTTAGAGTTGTTACGAGCATTAATACATGTAAAGCAACTTAAGGTGCATAAAGCGAGTTCATGCTGAAAAGTACTGAGAAGAGCACCAGCACATGAGAAGCATGTTTCCGCCGCTGCTATTGTCATTATTATTATTGGATCAGAAGCTCCCCCAGGGCAGAGACCCTGCTTTATCAGTCTGTCTTCATAACACCAGGGCCAGGCCTAATATCTGAGAGCTGGGACTCCAGTAACTCATGGCTGACCATGCCCCTCAGCTCCACTGCGAGGATTCAGGAGGTGATGATTTCCTCATCCCAGCCTTGATATGTCTTCATGTCATCATTGAGACTGTGCTGGCCTTTTGTGGCATGTCTGAGGCCTGAGTCACTTCTGTGCCATGATTCAGCCAATACGCATGTCCTTCCGCAGGTCAGGCCAAGTTGTATTGAGAAAAGAGCATTGGATGGAAAGACAGGAGACGTGGTGTCTGCTGCTCATTGACTCTGAGGCCAGTTTGTGCCTCTCTAGAAAGGAGCTTGCTCTGGCAGTTTTCTGTGAATTCTGTTGCCCTCCCTGGTCCTTCTGTTTATCCGTGTCCTTCTTCCCTGAAGCCTAGAAAGGTTGTAAACTCTTAACTTCCTCTGCAAGTGAAGAAAGGCCCATGGCTCCAACCCTCAAAAGACTTAAAATCTGGTTAGAGTGGTAAGAAAAGTATCCTCATATTCAATTGTTCATGAAATATTTGATGAAGCCACCTCTGTATCAGGCCTGTGCTTGTCACAGGAAAGGTAGCAAGAGAAGGAGAGTCCAGGTACTGTCTTCACAGAGTTCACAGGCCAAGGAGGGCACGGACCTGGAGCCATAATAAAGATAATCTAGGTACTTTTAACCAGTACTTCTCAAATTGGGTGGGAATATTTCAGGAGTCACCTGGGGAGTGTTTTCCTCCTCAGCTGATAACTGCTGCTTTAGGCAAAAAAGTCACTTTGGTCTAGATTAGTAGGTACAGGAAGCAGGCCTTTGAAGCCTTTGAGGCCAGAGGTTGAAGCTTCTCTCCTGGCTCTGGGATCAGCCCCAATGCAGGCCCCTGCCCCCAGGAGCCTCTGTGTCTGCTGTCTTCTTCCCATCCATATTCCTTTCAGGAGGGTCAATGCAGCACAATGCCAGCTCTGCCCCTGGACCAACTCCAGATCACCCACAAGGACCTGAAGACAGGGAAGCTGAGGACTTCACCAGCGCTGGTGAGCCGGTGCCTTGAGGCCGTTCAGCCTGATATTATCATTCTTGCAATTTCAGAAGCAAAAAGTAAATTCCTTCTTTATCTGTTCTAGAATGACCCAAGGGCCACAGTCTGTAATTCAGTAGTCGGGACGCTATTAGGTCCTTCCAGGCCCAGCGTAGAGTAGAAGTTTCCTTTCCGAGCAGCTTGAATTTGAGTGGTATTTTCCATGTCACCACCCCACACCTTGCCTGCAAAGCATTTCATTTTGAATCAGTCTGATGGCAGTTCTGACTCAGCCTGAGCTGGCCTAGCAGTGGGGCTGGCCCAAAGCTGGGTTTGGGGATTGGACCCTGTGGGAGGTGCTCAGGTTTCGGATGGGCCTTTTTCAGAGCTGTCCCAGCTGCTATCCACTTTGGCGGGGCACACTGATTTCAGAGGTCAGTTCTGAACGGGCTGAGAAGCGCCACACACAGACCTGGCAGGGCTTGTGAGACTGAAAATTAAGGAGGCTGTGAGCATGCCGATTACCAGCTGCGGGGAGAGATTAGAGCCGCAGAGAGGTGCCAGGGTGCTGGAGAAGGAGACAGACGCGGGGACTGGAGTCCCCATACCCCCTTGCTGTTTTCCCAAGAATATGAGCTTACTTGAACAAGGTGGGAGGAAGTATTTTCTGGGAGCTTGAGTAAAATTGTGGGAAACGAGCTTGGTGTTTTATTTCCTGCTTTCTGGATGGCTTCCTATTATTTCCTAACTACTCTCTAATAATAGTACTTAATATTTATAAAGGGGACTTCCCTGGAGGCTCAGTGGTTAAGAATCCGCCTGCCAATGCAGGGGACACAGGTTCGAGCCCTGGTCGGGGAAGATTCCACATGCCACGGAGTAACTAAGCCCGTGTGCCACAACTACTGAGCCCGTGCTCTAGAGCCCGCGAGCCACAACTGCTGAGCCCAAACGCCTAGAGCCTGTGCTCCACAACAAGAGAAACCACTGTAATGAGAAGCCCGTGCACCATAACAAGGAGGAGCCCCTGCTTGCCGCAATTAGAGAAAACCCGTGCACAGCAACGAAGACCCAATGTAGCCGTAAATAAATAAATAAAAATTTAAAAAAATATTTATAGAGCACTCGCTCTTGGCCAAACCTTTCACCTGGATTTATCTCATGTAAGCCGAACCACAGCCCTCTGAGTAGGCATTTTGGTTGTCCCCATTTTACAGATGAGGAAACTAAAAGTTCAGGGTCATAAAACTGGAAAATTAGGGGAGCCAGGATGGGAACACAGCTAGGCTGCCCCTAGAGCCCGTAGGCTTAACCTTTCTGCTATAAAGCCTCTTGTTTCTTTTTTATAACTTTTTTTTAAATTGAAGTAGAGTCAATGTCCAACATTATATGTTTCAGGTGTATAACATAGTGATTCACAATTTTAAAGGTTATATTCCATTTATAGTTATAAAATGTTGGCTGTGTTCCCTGTGTTGTGCAATATATCCTTGTATTCATAATCTTTTTATGTAAGGGGGTTATTGATCAGAAAATTGAGAACTGTTCTGTCCAATATGTTAGCTGTTCACCACGTGTGGTGGTTGAGCTCTTGAAATTGTGGCTAGTTCAACTGAGGAACTGGATTTTTAATTTAGTTTTAGTTCATTTAGGTTAAAATAGTCCCATGTGGTGAGAGCCTACTGTATTGGCCAGCACGGACCAGGTCTAGAGCAGTTCCGTCACTGCAGAGGTTCTGTTGGTCGGCGCTGGTGGAGACGGGTTCCTTGGGTCTGATTTCCCACCTCAGTCCTTCCCCACGTACTGGACACCTGGGCTGCTAGACTGTGGGCTCCGTGGGAGCAGGGACCGGGCCCTTCCCTTTGTTCTGGTTTTCCAGTGCCAGGCACGTAGTAGCTCTCAGGAGACATTCAGTAAATGAGTCAAGGACCCTAGCCACGCTTTGTGACAGGCACTGGAGCTACAAAGAGAAAAGACATGGTTCCTGCCCTTGAGGGGAGAAAGCAGACTGGTAGTTCTCTGCAGCATGATCAGGTTATGAGGGAAGGAAGTCCAGGCTGCTGATCCAGACCAGCGGGGTTTATGGGTACGGGGAGGTCTTAGGGTGGTGGGAGAGCACACACTGCCAGGAACTCCTTCCAGAAAGAGGGGGATCCTGAACTGGGTATTGAAGGGTGAGTAAGCACTAGCCGGGCAGAGCAATGGGAGGAGGATGGACCTGGCAGGAGGACCTGTGTCTATTGGCCTGGACTCCTGAGAGCCTGACTCCTACACAAACCACCTGGGGTGGAAGCAGAGTTAAGGAGCCCGGCTTTGTGTTTAATGTCACACAGACTTGGCCCTGTGACTTTGGGCAAGTTACTTAACATCTCTAAGCCTCAGGATCCAAAACAGGGTAACAGTAGAACCAGCCTTGCTGGGGTGGTTGTGAGGATTAAATGAGATGCCTGTGAATTAGCAGTGAACCTAGGACATAGTGAGCACTCAATGAAGATGGTGATGACAGCTGTGACGGTGACAGCGGCATTATGAATGGGGTGTAGGGTGGGAAGAGGGACGAGCTAAGGAAGACAGCTGTTTGATTGAGGAGCAGTCTTTTGGCTGTGCTGCAGGCCACCAGAAGCTCCTGAAAGATTGTCCTCAGAGATGTACCCGCCCTGTATTTGTCTCTTTAGTTCCAACTTGGGAGAAGAAGATCTCCAGCAAAGGGACAGCCATCATGCTGCCTCTGCAGAGCGATAGCTGAAGCTAATGTTTATTGAGTAGTTACTGTGCAGATGCACATACTTACTATTGAAGATCCAAAAGAAATCAAGTCTTGGGCTAAAGTGGGTGAATGGGCTCTTGAGAAAGACAAGACTCGTATAAGTGGAGCATTTGGAGAACAGTCCAGAATAGTTTCTTATCAGGATAAACAGAGCAGAAGTTTGATGGGCAGAGAATGTTCAGAAAGCTTCATGCAGCAAGTGGGACCTAAGCCAGGCCTGAAGAGTGGAAGATACAGTTGGAGCCTGCTGCTCCTTGCCCTGGAATCTTCCATGCCCCCTACTCATTTTTTTTTTTTTTTTTCTTTTTTGGCTGCACCATGCGGCATGTGGGATCTTAGTTCCCTGACCAGGGATCGAATCCATGCCCCCTGCATTGGGAGCATGGAGTCTTAACCACTGGACCACCAGGGAAGTCCCCCAATGGCCCCTACTCTTGAGCGTGGCATTGAAGGTCCTTCAGAGACCCTGACAGGATCTGGTCCTTCATTACCTCCATGCATTCCTTTATTCAATCAGCAAATGTACATGGAGAGTCTGCTCGATGCCAGGCACTGTTCTAGGGGTTGGGACTGCTGTGGTGAGCAAGACTCAGACTCCCTCCAGAGACCTGCAGGATACTGGGGGAGAAGGAGAAGGCAGGCCCTCCCTTTTGTATCACTTTATTGAGGTATCATTGGAGGACAATAAACTGCATGTATTTATTTAAAGTATACGATCTGATTGGTTTTGACATCTGCATACACCCATGAAACCATCACCATAATCAAGATAATGAACATTTCTGGACTTCATGGTGGTCCAGTGGTTAAGACTCTGCACTTCCACTGCAGGGGGTACGGGTTCGATCCCTGGTACCCCTGGTCGGGGAGGTTCCACATGCTGTGTGGTGCGGCCAGAAAAAAAAAGATAATGAACATTTCTACTACTCCCGAAAGTGTCCTGGTGCCCCCCCTATAATCTGTCCCTTCCTCTGTCCCCTTCCACAGCAACCACGGATCTGCAAGCACTTCTGATACAGTTTAACAAGTGCTACAGTCGGGGAAGCATAGAGTGCAGGTGTTGGGGAGCCCAGGTGAAACCCCTAACCTAGTCAGGGTGGGACTTGGGAGACTTCCTGGAGGAGGTGAGGTCAGAGCTGGGGTGAGAAGGATGAGCAGTGAGACCAGGGTGACACGTGGTACCTTAGGTCATTTAGTAGGTCTGCAGTGTCAGGTTTGGTTCAGATCCTGCCTCAATTGCTTCCTTAGCCCTGTGACCTTGGCAAAGTTGCTGAATCTGACTGAGTCTTGGTTTCCTCCTCTGTAAAATGGGGAGAATACTGTCTCCCTTTGAAATAGTTGTTCTAGGTAAAAAAGAAATGGGCTGGGGGACAGGCCTACTCAGCAGCCGGCACAGGGCAGGTCCTCCGTGAGTGACGGCTTTTATTATCCTTCCAGCATCTCTCCCTCCAAATCCATCTCCCACCACCTGGTGCAGTCTGTACCCTTTTTTTTTTTTAAATGGCCCATTTTTATGCCTCCATAAAAATACTGTGTTTTCCACCTAAAAATCCTTTTCATCCTCCAAGGGCCAGCTCAGATTCTGCCGGCCCTGGGAAGCGGCCCCTCGTCCTCCAGGCGCAGTTAATCACCTGTTGCCCTCTCACAGTCTCTCTGCCGGGTTTGAGCTGTCTGTGTTGTGCTCATTTGATAGCTTAGATGTGCATCTTCCCCTCTGTAGAGGATGCCTTTCTTCATGTGCGCAGCAGGGTGTCAGTAAGTGTGTAGGATTGTAGGGAGGTAGACTCTCAGGGGTGTGTGTATGTGTGTGTCTGTTGGGTGAGTGGGGTGAGTAGCCTGGCCTGAGAAGTGACCTAAGAGGTGAGATGTCAACAGACAAAGGCAGGAGGGGAACTCGAAAACCAAGGAGATGAAATTAGGGCCTAGAGAGTAGTTTTGGATTTGTTTCAGGCAGCAGGATTCCTTTTGTAAAAATTATGATTTAAATGGGAGGGGTCCTGAAGACCCACCTGGCAGGTGACCCCCAAGGAATCCTGCGGGACTCAAAGACTCCACAGTTTGCAAACTTGCGTTAGGCAGTTGGGAGGTGTAGGTGGTTCTCGAGGAGACTGACCAATCAGCTGTGGTTTTCCTGTGCCCCCTGGATTGACAGACCTGGAAGTGGGTGGATTGTGGTTGATAATAGCTGAGACGCAGCCCAGCCTTCTTCCTGTTATCACCTCCCCCCCTCCCCAAGAGAAAGCAGCCCTTATGTAGTCAGAGGAGAAAACTGAGCTCATCTTCTCTTCTTTATGGTGAACAAAGTAAGATTTGTTCATGGCAAGGTAAGGGTTGGAAGAGAGAGCTTGTGATGCTAAGCTGAGACCTGCAATTACCTGATTAGCATCTTTTAAAAAAAATACTGAGGTTTTTTTCTGATTATACAAAGGGTATAGCACAGTGATATGTACAGTATGATACTGTTTGTGTCAGAAAGATGAAAATGGGTCCAAAGAAATGCCTCATATGGGCACATTTTAATGTAAATACTTAGAAAAGGTCTGTGAGGATGCTCAGGGAATGGTGAGGGGTTACCTCTGGGTTGACACAGGGGCTGGGGGTATGGGCCAGGCAACTCACCTTTCTGTACTATTGTGAGTTTTTGAAAGAAAGGATGCTCATGCCTCACTTGTATGATTTAAAAAATAATTTAAAAAATAATACATGTTCTTTTTTTTAATGGGAAAATATAGTCAAGTCATAATCCCTTCCACTAGAGATAGCCACTGTGAGCTTTGGGGGGTTGCCCCCCCCACACACACTTTAAAAAAAAATCTGTACCAGTGTGTGAATGTGTTAAATATGTGTACTTTTTTTTTTACTCCCCAAACTGGTTATAAAATAGAGAGGTTTGTGTCCTGCTTTTTCTTCCCTTAACCTTTTCCCATGTCATTAAATATTCTCCAAAAAACATGGTATTTAATGCCCGCCTGGTGTTCCCTGGCTGCAACCAAGCCCCCTTTGTCAGAGACACTCAGTTCTTTATGCTTGAGGGTCACTGGTTGGAACAGCCCAGTGTTGTCATTGCTGTGGGTTGGCAAATGGGCCCTCACTGACTAACCTCTGCCACGTTAACACGTGGTTTTTGGATCCGTAGCACCCCGAGCAGAAGGCAGACCGGTATTTTGTGTTATACAAACCGCCCCCTAAAGACAACATTCCCGCCCTAGTGGAGGAGTACCTGGAACGCGCCACCTTCGTAGCCAATGACCTCGACTGGCTCCTGGCCCTGCCTCACGATAAATTCTGGTGCCAGGTAACATTCTATCAAAATTCACGCTAAGACAAAGCACATGACATGCCATTGGTTGGGTGCTGTTGTTTTTCTCTCCCAGGAGATGCTTTTTTTCTCTGCTTCTTACACTGGATCCTTAACAGCAAATTGTGGTTTGGATTGCTCTGACTTGTATCACAGTCTTAGTGATGTTTACACAACGCCTTCCAACACGTCATTTTTAGAAACTCGTGTTTAGCCCTCGGCTCATTTATACCTCTTCGGTCCCTTGGGGTTGGAGTGTTTGCCACAGGCCAGGGCTGATGGGCCGTGAGCCCTGCACAGTCCACCCACACGCCCTTGGGCCTCAGTGACGAGCCCTTGCTGTCCTCTGTCGCCTGGCTTAGGTTGTCTTCGACGAGACTCTGCAGAAGTGCCTGGACTCCTACCTGCACTATGTCCCCCGAAAGTTCGACAATTGGGTGGCCCCGGCCCCTGAGGTCGTTGACATGGAGAAGCGCCTCCACCGAAGTGTTTTTCTCACCTTCCTTCGCATGTCCACTCACAAGGAATCCAAAGTAAGCCCCGGATCCCGTGACAGGTCACCACCGCCACCTGACACCTCTGTGCCAGGCTCTCAGCCCTGGGAAGGAAGGCTCTGGAAGTATCATGTTTCCTCTGTCTCCCCTCTGCTTTTATTCCCACCATTGGGGAAGAAATCTGTGCCACCTCCCTTATCCTCTAAGTCACCGGGTCGCCTGCGTTACACCCAATGTTTTCATCGATGGGGAGCCGAAGGCCTTGTGCCAGGTGGCGCGTGACTATGCCCTCCTTGTGCGTCAGAGGGCGAATATATTGGTTCTGAGTTTTTAGAGGGACTCGTATGTGCTTTTTAAAAACCTTTACTTTTTTCCCCCTGATTTTAAAAATAATAATGCTGTCTCTAAACAACTCAAACATAACAGAAATATTTTGTAGATTATGAAAGTCATCCACAAAACTCCCTCCGCTCAAAATGACCACTGTCAAGGTGCATGTTCCTTCAGGAAACTTTTTTCCTTTCAATGTGTGTGTGTGTGCGCACATATTTATTTTAAAAATAGTATCTTGCTTTTTTGTTTTTTTAACTTGTTACATGGAAATTTTCAAATATACACAAAAGTATAATGACTCCCATGTACCCATTACCTGGGTTCAACAGGTATAGACATCTTGTTTGCTCCCTCCCCCTGAGTTTTCTGTTTTTCTTGGAGTATTTTAAATAATCCCAGACATCATGGTGATTTACACATAAATATTTTAGAATGATTCCCCAGCTGATGGTTTTATAGTGAGCTTTTGCTTCTGTTTACATTAAGATGAAGTGTGACCACTGCTCCAGGTCAGTCCATGAGGCTCAGACATGTCCGCGGTGTGGACAGAGCTGCTTCTGTTAGCCAGGCCCCTGCTGATGGACCTGAAGGTTGTTTCTTGTGAGCTTGCTATTACCCTGCAATGCACATGTTTTTGGAAAGTCTCTCATGCTTTCTGCACTGTTCCTTAGGATCACTTCATTTCCCCCTCTGCTTTTGGAGAAATCCTCTACAACAACTTCCTGTTTGACATCCCAAAGATCCTGGACCTCTGCGTGCTCTTTGGAAAAGGCAACTCCCCGCTGCTGCAGAAGATGATAGGTGAGTAGGGGCTGTGGCCTGACGGCGGCAGGGCGGGGGGGCACAGAGATGGCCCCCAAATTCCAAAGGCGGGCGCCCGGATGAGCACAGGGGGATTCAGAGCAGCAGCAGTGGGTGGTGCTTGGAAATGTCTTAGTGGACGTGTGTGTCAACTCTGAAAGAAGTGACTAAGTGGTGGTGGGGGAGTGGAGACAAAAATGGGCATCACGCAGCTGCTCCAGGATCTTGGAGTCAGCATTAGGCCATGTGTCAAACAATCGAAGGAGTCGGGGAGTTTGCTTCGGCAATAAGAGTAAGAACGGTGGCGACAGCTAACGGTTATTTGAGTGCTCACTGGTGACTCTGCGGATGCTCCTCATATGTCATCTCAGTTGATCCTCCCAGTCGCCCTGTGATGTCAGTGGTGTCATCATCCCCATTTACAGTTAAGGAAACTGAGGTTATATGTCAGGGACTTGCCTGAGAGGCCGTGACTAACGAGTAGCCAGGCTGGGATTTATGTCACTTGGGCCTGACTCTCAGGCTCTCACCCTTGGCCACTCCCTGCCTCAGGGGTGATGGGGCTGCCTCAGAAATGTCAAGATTTGCATTGCTGCTGAGAACAGATGGGGGCAGAGTTCAGGGAGGACCCTTTGGGCTTGTGAAGGGAACAGACATCAGCAGTTGGATCCCATCAGGAGGCCATGGGTTGGAAGGTTCACTCAGAGCCGGAAGCTTTGTTGGGAAGTTACAGAGGGAACAGTGCCACAGTGGACTCATTTTTGAATAGCCACTCATGGCATTGGACTGGCACGGAGAGCTACTCACCCTGGACACCCCTGTCAGCACTCCTCACCCTGAGATTATAAGATAGAGACTTCCAAATGCCCAGTTACAGAGCTCAGTTATCCCTAGAAATGTCTTCTTCCCTTCCTTCCTACCTCCCCACCGCAATAATAAAGGTAATATATGTTAATTTAGAAAATTTTGAAAGAATATAAAGTGTAAAGAAACAGGAAAGCAATTACTAAATTCCTGCACCCAGAGACAATGATTTGGTGATTATTCCCTTCTACTCTTTTCTCTTTGTATTTTTTTTAAAACATATTAGAGCATAATGTGTATGAAATTTCATATCCAGCTTTTCATTGGAACGACCTCTGGTTTCTCATTCAAATCTAATTATTGCCTGATCATCAGTTAATTTCTTTTATTTTCCCCGGGAAAGACCCTTAATAATTATACTCTAGACAGAGGTTGGGATGAGTGCACAAAAGCAGGCACGATTAGCTAGAGAAACAATTATTAGGCCGGTTTGGTTGGAGTGGAGCATTCTGGGAGGGCAGCGCAGGAGCCAGGGGAGGAAGCTGGGGCCGGATCAAGGAGGGCTGCACGCCAGGCTTTGGCACTTGGGGAGCAGTATCGCTTGGTGGCTAAGAAGGCAGGTTCTAGAGTTGAATTGCCCAATCCACAGCTCTAGTCCCAGCTGTGTCACCTTGAGCAAGTTAGTTAGCCACTCTAAGCCTGAGTTTTCTCACTTGAAGAAAGGGAAGACCAACTTGTAGTATGGTTGTGGGGATTAAATATGAGGTGGTGCTCAGCACAGAGCCTGGCACGTTACAGGCACTTGGTAAGTGCGAGCTCTTACTGTGACGAGGCTGTGGGAGCCTCTAGGAGCTTGGAGCATCTAGGAGCTTGGAGCAGGGTGGGGAGCCATCTGGCGACAAGGTTAATCTGGCAGCATGCAGGTGGGGAGGGTGGTGACGGGAGCCTGTGGAGGGGGCCAGGGCTTCAGCGTGGGTTTGAATGTGAGAGCCTGCTTGGGCTGCTGGGGCAGAAAAGGACACATCTGGGAGTAAAGCGGGGCTTAGTGAGGTCAGCTGGAGGGAGGAGTCTTAACGAATCTGGAGAAAACTTGAGGTGGGGGAGCAGGTTGTAAGTAGAGGCAAGGGCAGCATTAGGTCCGTGGGCTGTAGACGGCTGTGAGGGTCCAGGCAGAGATGCTGTCTGGCCGCATTTCCAGACAAGCAAGGGTGGTGTGAGAGAGCTCCGCCTGTTGCCAGGGTTCCTAATCTTTTAGGTCACTGACTCCTTTGAGAATCAGATGAAAGCTTGTCTCCAGGAAAACATACTCCCTCATAGAGTTTGAGCTGTTTTAGAATATTCTCATCCCTAGATTGAGAACCCTAAATTGGCTTATTAAGGAGAGCCCTTTCTTTGGCTCACAGAGGCTGGTTCACAGAAAAGAGGGCAGGATCAGGTATCAGGAGCCCCTTCATATTGTGTGTGTGCGTCTGTCTGTCTGGCTCTCCGTCTGCAGGCCCCTTCTCCACACCCTTCAACACGCACGCGCGCGCGCGCGCACACACACACACACACACACACACACACACACACACACACACACACAAGCTCTCTTTCCAACCCTTGAGCAGAAGACATGAGACACAGCAAGGGCAGCCTTCACTTTCTCCACCACAGAAACTCGTGAGCAAAGCAGATCAGCTGGAAGAGGGTTGACAAAGGAGACAAGGGGGGAACACGGGAACTGGCCAACTGTCCTTTGGGCAGAAGCCCAGTCCTTGCCCTGTCCCTGCCTCCTGCTTTTTTTTCAACCTTAAGGCTGGTGTTGTGAATCAGCAAGTGTAATTGTGAAAGCAGGGCCCTTCAGTTAGACTCTCTTGGAGCTGCTTTGCCAGAGCAGGAGTATATGAGCCCTTGGCCCCGTGGAGGACAGCACTGATCTGTTTGACAATACCTTGCATCCACCCTGGGTTTCTGAACTGCTTCAGTCTGAGAAGGGATATTTCAAGGGAGGCCATTCCTGTCCCTTCTTTTTAAATTATTTCTTTAAGAGATCAAAAGTCAGATCTTCAATGTCATTGGAATCAGATAAAGGAGAAGGAGACTCCAAAGACCTCAAGGGTAGATTGTGAAATGTGGTCTATTTTGATGCTTATAAAATATCCCTGTTACTCAGGCCTAAGCATGGGAAGGATTATGAAAGAGTGCCTTCCCCTGTTCCCGGTGGTTCAGGAGTGGTGAGGACCACTGTGTGGCCTGGGAATTACGGGAGGAGACCTGCTCCTGATGCCTGGGTCAGGAGACTCTGCCTGGAGAGGGTGACATCTGCCTTATGGTGGACTTAGCTCTGGGAGGTCACTGCAGGCAGAGGGAGGGGACAGGGCTCGTTGTGTGAGGTTGAGGATGGTGTGAGGGAAGAATGCAATTCGAGGGATGGGAAGAGGGTGGCCGGAGATGCCAGCAGAAACCAGATCTTACAGGCCCTTTGTGCCGTGGTCAGGAGTTCAAACTTGCCCTTGAGGATATTGCTAGGAGGGTTTTATGAGGAAGAGCAGAGGTGGGTGGGGAGACAGCTCAGTCACTCCCCGCCTGTCAGGAGCAGGTGGGCACAGAAGGTCAGGGAGTACCTTCACAGGTTGAGGGGTCAGATGGGAGGTGCTGAGGAAGCTCCTGCTGGTAAAACTCAGCTTTCTGGAATCAAGGAATGAATCGGCCTCCAGGAAGGTGTCTACAGAAAGTCCAGCCACCTAGTAACTTGCTTACTCACCCAGCCCCATCTGGCCTTTGATCTCATTCATTTTCAAATCATCCAGGATAGAGTGAGGGCTGCAGGGTTATCATTAAGGCAACCGAGGACAGACCTGCCCAAAGACAGAGGACACCTACAGGTCAGAGCACCCTGACAGTCAGCCAGCCTTAGGTCCTGGGATTGTAGTGGGATGAGGAACCCAGGCCTCTTCTGAAGGGCAGTGGCATTTTGCATCCTGTCCCCCAGCTAGCTGTGATCCTCCTTCCCTCCCCCCTTCCGCCACCCATTTGGGCAGCCAGGACAATTGGTTTCTGTTCCAGGTACCATATGCTCTAACCTCCACACTCAGCAGCAGCACTTGGAGGATAGTGAACACTTGGAGAGGGGCTTCATTTTATAGGAATAAGTGCAAATGTGCGGTAAATCTATCTCCAGGTCCCTGGCAGGCCTCTCACCTTGGAGTAGGGATTAGTATGGCTAGCAGATTCAAAAGCAGAGGGTAGGAGAATTTCTAGAGAAATTTCTCCCTAGAATCTCCTCACATTACTAGAGGCGTGGCCTGGCAAGACTCCTGGATTGTAGCACCCAGGTTTCTTGAGCAGAGTGATCCTGTCTCCTAATTTTCCTGGATGACTAGCTCCTATTTACAAAGCCAGTGTTGTCATACAAAGCACAGTGCCCAAGTGTGATCATTCCCTGGGGATGGTAGGGTGAGCTGGTTTGACCAGGGAGGGTCTTTTACGTAATTCGCTGGGCAGAGGTGCTTAAAAGGTTAACTTGTACTGAGCAAGGTCCCTCCCTCACCCTGGGGAAGTTTCTAGGCTGGGCCAAAGCTCTGTGCCAGCGGCGCCCGGGGCCAGGACTGCTTTAGTGCAGGCAGGCTTAGGAAAGGGGAGAAAGGTCACAGAACATGCTGGCAACAATTTGTACTGTGTCCTCTCCACCCCTACTGTCTTTTCCCAATTCCTACCTTTCTCTTCTCTTTTCAGGAAACATCTTTCTCCAACAGCCAAGTTACTATAATGACCTGGATGAAACCATGCCCACCATCCTTCAGGTACTGACTGGCTCTCAGCCCTGCCCAGGGGAGGCAGAGCCTTTCTCCTACCTGCTGATGTTTCTCAACTTTCCTGGAAGAGTCTGGGAGAAATCCCCCCCACCCGCCACCCCAGATTCACCTCCAGACTGTCACTGTGTTGCACCCCTCACCTCACTCCTTTGAATTCATCCTTTCCTCTCTTGAACAGGACTGAAATCTAAGGGCTGTCCAGCACTCATACAGAAAGAGCTTGGGGTGCATTTTGTGTTGTTTGTCAACAGCCATCTACCTCTAAGGATACCCCTGTACGTTTCTCAAATCAGATGAAATAATGTTCATTGTAGAAAATTTGGAAAATTTTAAAAAAAGAACAAAAAAACAGAAAGAGGGAGATTAATCTCCCTCCATAATCCCACCAAGAGATAACCACTGTTCACAGTAACTCTTAGAATTTTACATGCTAGCATACTTAAAATATAGCACCATCAGTTAAATACTTACATGATTTTATGATGGGCTCTGTTTTCCCCTCACTGTTGATTTGTCTTTTATTTCAATATAGTTCCCATAAATTGCCATCTCCAGGGGATCCAAAAACATATGTTACTGACTGTAACTCTTAAATATTCATCACCATACACTTGTCCCGTCTATCCAGGTAATATCCACAGGATTTACATACATTTTGTCATTTTAATCCTCACCACAATCCTTCAAGAAGGATGCCCCCATTACTCCACTTTGACACAGATTCCACTCTGACCCCGCTCTCTGAGAAGGTCACTGTCTCAGCTGGTGTCCCAGGAACGCTGGCATATATTCTAAAGATACCAAAGCAGTTTTCAGATCACCAGTCGCTAGCTGCAGGATGGGGGTCTAGCTGCTGGCTCGACGGGATGTGGGAGAGTCATCTCTTGTGTTTCACAGGTCTTCAGCAATATCCTCCAGCATTGTGGTTTGCAAGGGGACGGGGCCTGCGCCACACCCCAGAAGCTTGAGGAGAGGGGCCGGCTGACCCCCAGCGACATGCCTCTCCTGGTGAGGTTGCCCTTCAGCCCAGCTTCTTTCTGGCCAGTAGAAGGCCCAGCAGCTTCTTCCCTTGCTCACAGCCCTTTACCCCAACCCCACCAGCAGCTGTTCCCATCACACAGGTTTAGAGCGTTTCAGCAGGCCTTTTCACTGGGAGCTTCACTTATGGAGTAGCGGAGGGAACAGGATGGAGGTTTAGTCTTCACATAGTTCAGGTGGACAGGTTCCTGGGTGCGTTATTCATTGAGCCTTTCATCCACCGCGCCGATTTGCGTGGAGGAGCCCCTAGCACGTGCCAGGCCCCAGGCTGGGCTGTGAAGGTGAAGCAGTGAGCAGAAGCAGACATGGCGCCTGCTCTCATGGAACTCAGAATCTAATGGGGATGCCAGATGGGAGGTAAATGTTTAAGGAGCCTGGACGTGCGTCTGGCCCTGTGTTAAGCACCAGAGTTAGAGGAGGAACGAAGCAGCTGTGAGCTGCCCTCCTGGAGCTTGCGATCTCGTGAGAGAACAGGCCTTAAACAAGTGTTTCAGAAAAGGGCACACCGAGTGCTGTGGGAGCAGGGCATGTTACCCCTCTGAACCGCAGAGAAGTCTCTACAGATAAGTCTCCTCATCTGTAAAATGGAGATCCCAGCCTGCTTGTTAGCGTCATCGTGAGAATCAGAGAAGCCTATGAGGACGCACTCCCTGTTCTGTACAGGCGCTTCAAACTCTAAGGAAAGTAGGGTGGGCTATTCTTGTCCTCACTGGGATGTACTTTCTGTGCGGGACCTCAGGCGCTGTCTTCAGATTCAGGGATGGGTTCTCCTTCAACTTCCAAGAGAGAATCGTATTAGCCCAGGGGACCTCCCTGGTGGTCCAGTGGTTAAGACTTTGCCTTCCAGTGCAGGGGGTGCGTGTTCGATCCCTGGTTGGGGAGCTAAGATCCCACATATGCCTTGTGGCCAAAAAACCAAAACAAAACAGAAGCAATATTGTAACAAATTCAATAAAGACTTTTAAAATGGTACACATCAAAAAATATATATATATTTAATTTAAAAAAAGAGAGAGAGAGAGAGAATCGTATTAGCCCAGAGCTAGAAGTCACCCTAGAGATCCCCGGCTGTGCATCTGTTGGAACTACAGTAGCAAGACCCAAGGCTTGGGTTGAGCTCCCCAGATCGTCCTTCTAGAGATGGACAAGCCAGTCTTTGCCCGGGACCTCCAGCGTTCACCTGCCTGTTGGGGACCCCCAGCTTTGTCAGCTTTGTCTCAGACCCTCTACAGAGTTGTCCCTGGGGGCGGAGGAGAATAATGCAGTGTTTTCCTTTGGCGACAGGAATTAAAGGACATCGTTCTCTACCTTTGTGATACCTGCACCACACTCTGGGCCTTTCTGGATATCTTCCCTTTGGCTTGCCCAACCTTCCAGAAACACGACTTCTGTTACAGGTACAGAGGTAGTTCTGGCTGTTGAAGTCGAGGTTGGAGTTCACATCTTCGTTCAGCAAGTATTTATTGGGTGCTTAGGATGCACCAGGCCCTCTTCCAGCTCCTGCCTGTGTGGAGGCTGCATTTGAGAAGCACTGCTATTTGGGGCTAAGAACAGGGGAGAGGAGGAAGAAAAACACCAACCCAAGAGTCGGGCAGTTTCAATTCAGTCCCATTTTGTTTCAGACCCCCTGTCACAGGCAGGCACAGGGAGTGACAGATGATAAGGAGCGGGCTGAGGACTTCAGCCTCCAGCCCAGGGAAGAGCACACGTGAGGATGTGAGCAGATGTGCGCCCGTGTGGCGCCAGCAGTTGGGGCCGAATTATGAACACAGACGAGGGAGCAAAGTTCTATCTGGTGAAATAAGAGAACGTTTCAGGACGACCCTTAAATGAGGTCTTAAGAATGAACAGCAACCTTCCAGGCAGAGAAAGGTTTCCATGGCTGGAAGCGCATTCAGGCTGGCGGAGTGAAGCCTGCGGAGGCCCAGCGTGTGTTCCGGGGAGAACAGGGGAGTGGAGTGTGACATGAGGGGCAGGTGTGGGCGTGGGGAGCAGGCGACAACCAGAGGGGGCTCCAGGGAAGTCAGACTTGGTTTGATGTGTGCTGGCAGAGAGTGGGGCCTTTATTGGGCAGGCAGGAGGGAGGCCCTGGAGGCTTTTATCCAAATAACTCATAGAAAGATCCTGCTGTGATGAAGAAAGATACCAAGGGGGATACGGGGCAGGGAGGGAGACCCTCTTTGCCCACTTAGCACCATGGGCATCTGTTTCGTGTGCATTTAGAAGGGGGTGCACAGGGGATGAGCTGGTAACTGGCACACTGCCTGGCAATGGCAGAAGGTGGGGGTGGGCTGCCCTGTTCTCAGTGGCCTCTGGCTGTTCTTGCCAGGCATCTCTCCCCACCGTTTGCAAGAGCTTCTGGGAGCTGCCCAGCTCCATCCACCCAGCCCTCTGTCCATTCGGTCATTTGCTCACCCATTCAACAAAACATTTATCTAGCCCTGGCATGTGCCAGAGATGGCAGCTGGTGCCCTGAGCCCGCCTGGTTCTCCTCAGCTCACAAAAATCAGACATGAAGATTGATCAGCCTCCCGGAGAACGTTAGAATAAAGCACTGATCCACACTTTCCCCAGAAGGAAGGGGTTAGGATGGGACTCTTAAAAATGTTGTCACAGTTTTTAAAAGGTATCTTTTCTCATGGTAAATGTGGCAAATGCTTGTAGGAACTTTGGGAAATCCCCAAAGGTAGGAAATGAAAATCACTATGAGAGATCATGCTGTTCTTAGACTTATTTTCACTCACCATAAGCATTTTCCCATTTTGTGAAAGCATCTTCCCAAACATGGTGCAGACGGCTTTGGAAAGGGTCTTTGGAGATGGGAGGGTCATTTCTGGAAGAGCTGACTTTCCTGCGAGGTACCCATGGCGGCAGGGGAGCAGCTCCACCCATCTCAAGATGAGGAGGAAGAAAAGAAAACACTCTTGACTGCGAGTGACCCTGCCTTTGGCAAGTGACACTGCCTCTGACCCACAAACAGCCTGGGGCTGGCTCAACCTGTTCCAACTGTGCTGGAGGCCAGGAACACCCGCTGAGCGAAGCAGCCCCTCAGTCCCAGAGGGCTCTGGTCAAGGGACTACCTCCCCAAACAGCCCTCTAGCTAATCTCTCTCAGAACAACCTTCTCCGCCCTCCTCTCTTTCTGTCCTTTAATTCTGAGAACGAATAATGCATTCACATGGTTCAAAACTCAAAAAGTATAAAATACACATTGAAAAGCCTCCCTTTCCCCCTTCCCCAGTTCTGTTCCTCACACACAAGCATCGGGTTAGTTTTTTTTGTGGAATTTTCCAGAGATATGCATATAAATATGCACATATAAGCAAATATACACATTATAAATCTGCCCTCTTTTTAATATTTAATATACTGGCATATTATGAGGACTGTATGTACTGTTTGCATTTTACTTTTAAATTTAATGTACATCTATGCATAAAGCACCTTCAGTCTTTGGTATGGCTGGGTAGAATTCCGTTGTGTGGGACACCAGCCCCCAGAGATTTAGGTTTTTTCCAACTGTTTGCTATTACAAAAAAAATTGCCGTAAAGAATAACTTTGTACACAGGTCATTATGTACCTCGTTACAAGTATATCTGAGAAATAAATTCCTAGAAGTAGAATTGTGGGAACAGATGGTATATGCATTTAAAATTTTCACAGATCTCACCAAATCACCCTCTATAGGGGTTGTTTCAGTTAACCCTCCCACCAGCAGTGTATCCTGGCAACGCCTGACTCTGCTTGAGCCAAACTACCCTCTCTGTTGTCTTCTGGGTGCCGTGCTGTGGGCCTCGAAAGGCCTGCCTCTTTGGGCCGGCTTACCCTCTGCTACGCACAGCACTGCACTAGGAAAAAGTTGTCAGCAGCCAGCCGATTGACAGACAGATATTTACAGGGTGCCTCCTGCAGATTCAGCACTGTCCTAGGCACGTCAGCTGCATTTCTGGCTTTGGGAAGCCTAAGATGTTCAGAGATAGAATTACACCCCAGAAGAGAGGTAGCTGCATTTTAAGTTGTAAAAACACGATCTTCTGAGTGCTGTGCATCTAGTTCCGGGGAGGAGTAATCACAGGGGTGAGCGTGATCAGGAAGCGTGTGGCTGGGATGAAGAGTTTCTGTTTTCGCTTTTGTTGAAATTTTTATTGGAGTATAGTTGATTTACAATGTTGTGTTAGTTTCAGGTGTACAGCAAAGTGAATCAGTTATATATATATATATATATATATATATATATATATCTCCATTCTTTTTCAGATTCTTTTCCCATATATCAATAGGTTGCTACAGAATTTTTTTTTCAGAATTTTTTTAAAAATTATTTATTTTTGGCTGCATTGGTCTTCATTGATGCGTGCGGGCTTTCTCTAGTTGTGGCGAGCGGGGGCTACTCTTCGTTGGTGCGCGGGCTTCTCATTGCAACGGCTTCTCTTGTTGTGGAGCACAGGTTCTAGGTGCGCGGGCTTCAGTAGTTGTGGCTCGCGGGCTCTAGAGCACAGGCTCAGTAGTTGTGATGCACAGGCTTAGTTGCTCTGCGGCATGTGGGATCTTCCCAGACCAGGGATCGAACCCCTGTCCCCTGCATTGGCAGACAGATTCTTATCCACTGCGCCACCAGGGAAACCCTGTTACAGAACATTGAGTAGAGCTCCCTGTGCTATACAGTAGGTTCTTATTAGTTACCTATTTTATATAGAGTAGTGTGTGTATGTTAATCCCAATCTCCTAATTTAGGGGATGGAGAGTTTAAATCTGAGTTGAGAAGGGGTGGCTGTGAGGTTGCTGAGGTGAGAAGCAGGGTTGGCTATACTGTGCCAGGTACAGATGTACCAGAGAGGAGTTACACTTTGATGTCATAGGAGGTAGGGAGCTGCTGGCAGTTTTTGAGCAAGAAAAAAGTCACCTTGTATTTGTTCCTCAAACCCCAGTGAGTCCTGGGTGGCCTTCTCATTGCTCTGTTAGAATAAGCCTGTCTGGGCCTTGGTTTCCCATATGAATGGGGGAAGTAGCTCCAGGGCATTTCCCACAAGGCTCTTCCTAGGACCAGCCACTGTGGGACAATCTGGGGTGAACTTCAGGAAGAGCCAGGGTGGTCCCGGGAGAAAACTGTGGTGACAACTTGGGAGCAAGAAATAGGCCTTCCCACTCCCTTGAGTTTGCTTTGCTTTTTCTAATGAAGTGTGATATTTGTGAGCTAATCCAGCCTTTTACCCACATGTGCCACCACAGGCTAGCTTCCTTTTACGAAATAGCAATTTCCGAACTGGAGTCTGCAATTAAGAAGAGGAGGCTTGAAGATAGCAAGTGAGGCGGGGACAAAACTAAGAGTATTGTTGTGGGAGAGAGAAGCCCCAGCTCGGGCCCTGCCCTCCGTGGGCCTTGGCATCCCCATCTCTAAGTCAAGGGGGTGGGACCACGGACCATGCGGATTTGGCTGGTGCCTCCCTACCTAATGGCCTCCCGGCCTCTGTATTGAAGCCTTTTCCCTTCAGCTGTTGCTCTAAGCTCTTATTGACCTGCTGGTTCCTGACCGCCTGTTTGAGCTGAGAAGTGGCCCTGGAACCAGCCGGCCTCTCAGAGCCTGTAGCCTTTTGCCAACTGCTGTCAACAGCAAACTGTGAGGCTTTCCCAGCCCCTGGGGGCGGGGGCAGGGGTTGGGAGGCAAGGGGCACCTGCAAATGCTGGAAAGAAGTTCCCTCAGTGCCCTTTTTGCCTCTCAAATCTACTTCTTTTTTCTCTGTGGCCTTCGAAGGCTGCTAGGTGACCTGTGGCAGAGGCTCTCCCATTCCAGGAAGAAGCTACTGGAGATTTTTCACATCCTCCTGAACCAGATCTGCCTTCTCCCAGTCCTAGAAAGCAGGTAAACACTCGGGAGCCACTGCCCCACCCAGGTGGAAGAGCTCCCTCCCCAAGCCCAGCAAAGGCGTTTCCCTCACTTCATCTTGTCCCTCCCCTGCTCCAGGGTTGCTGAGCAAAGATGGGAAACTGAGAAAAATGCCTCTTTCCCCCAACTGGCTGGAGGCCTGGCAGAGGGGTGGGGTGAGCGGGCGAGGAAGGGAGCTGCAGATTGTCTGCATGGAATGAGCTCATCTTGCCTGTGTCCTGTTCCAGCTGTGACAACATTCAGGGCTTCATCGAAGAGTTCCTTCAGATCTTCAGCTCCTTGCTGCAGGAAAAGAGGTGAGCGTGTAGCTGAGTTGGGACGGGCCCGTGGCACTCCCACCAGCCCCAGGAGACCTTACGTAATAGAGCCCCTGCCATGTGCTCACCACGGTCTAAGCTTCTGGCATTTGTGGTTGGGCAGCAGACACAGGGAGTGGCCCTCAGCAAACCAGCCCCTGTGGCTCCAGCCCTGTCTTCCCCGACACCCTCTCCCCCCACCCCCGCTGCGCTCTCTCTGGCAGGTTTCTCCGGGACTATGATGCGCTCTTCCCCGTGGCCGATGACATCAGCCTGTTGCAGCAGGCCTCGTCAGCCTTGTATCCTTCCACTGCAGCCCCTGGGACGGGCCTGACCTGACCGGGTCAGACCCACAGGGAGTGGAGGGACATTTGGCCCCAGAACACGTCTAGGCCAGCCTTCCCTAGATGCCCGCCGAGGCCCCAGCCCCAGTCTCTGGAGGAGATGACTGCTCTGATCCTTGGGGCAAATACAGCCCTACTTACCCTAGTCTTTGCTGAGCCTCTGGGCCTGTGTGACCAAGATGGACTCAGCCCTGCCCTTATGGACCTCACTGCAGGATGAGAGACGGATAATTAAATAGGCAGTTAGAGTGTCATATGGGAGAAATTCAGAGTCAGGGGAAACCAAGGGGGCCTTCAACCCAGTGGAGCTTGGGGTGGGGGTGTCACACGGAAGTGAAATCCAAGTTGAGAACAGCGCAAGGAAGAGGAGGTGGCCAAACCCTGAATTAAGTGTTCCCAGGGGACAGCGGACAGAGCAGGCCTGTCTGAGGAGCCCACAGATGTTGTGTGCAGATTGCAGAGGGCTGAGGGGAAGGGGTCTAGCGGGAGGGGGTTTAGGCCATGGCCAATGAGCTGGGGCCGAGCAGACCTGCATGGCCCAGGGATGGCCCTCACTGAGAAGTTTGGGGTCAGCCCTGCAAGTGCTGGGGAGCCATGGAAGGGTGTGAAGCAGAGGGTGACATTGTCAGTTTCATACTTTGGCTGGTGGGGGGTTGGGTTAGAAGTAGAGTGAGGGGGTCTAGGGCAACTCCCCAGCATCTGGCTTGGCAATACCCAGGGTAGTGGAGAGGGAGGAGGGGCAGGAACGAGCAGGCCCAAGGACCATTTTGGTGACTGGGTAGGTTGCTCAGTCCTGTCTCAGGGACACCCTGTGGGCCCCCAACCTTTACAGAAAGCCCGCAACTGGTTCGACAGGAAGCCCAGTGGTAGTGTCCCCACCGGGCCCTCCTCCTGGGGGTCAGTGCAGAGGAGGAGCTGCTGGATTGTCCAAATGCCATGTTCCAGGATGCTCTGCTGCCAGCCCCTGGCCTGGTCTTTACCCAGAGCTTCTTTCTGCTGAGTGGCAGGTACTGGGTTTTCAGGCTAGTGTGGCTGTGGTCTGCCTGGCCCGTTTCCTCATGTAGCCCAGGTGCCCGTGATGCCCACTGGATGCAGCCCAGACAGCCCCTGGCCGAAGCCATACAGTCAGATGCTGGGGATAGATTGAGAAACAATGCTGCCTCAGAGCTGCCCTCCCGAGAGACTCCTTAACACGTCCTCACAGGGACGAGACTCGGACCGCCTACATCCTCCAGGCAGTTGAGAGTGCATGGGAAGGGGTGGACCGAAGGAAAGCCACCAATGCCAAAGACCCACCGGTGGTTGAGAATCCTAACGGGGTCGTGGTGGCGGCGGAGGCGGTCAGCAGACCGTCATCGCTTCCCCAGAACTCGGAGGAAGAGGAGGTGTGTGACAAGAGCGGTGCTTCCCCTGCTCCCCAGCCCCTCCTGGCCCCATCGAGAGGTTTGGGCAGCGGGAAACCTGCCTTCTTTGTTCCTGCTCTCAGGGAAAAGGGTTTCTTTTGGAGTTGACAGTCTTGAGCTGCTGGTCAGCTCTGCGTTGCCTTTAGAGGGTTCTGAGCTGCGGGCGTGCTAGGCAGGGTGTGAGGAAGGCAAGTCGCTTAGCTGTCAAAGCCTCAGTTTCCCCTCCATAAGATGAAGCAATGGAGCTTTTTCCATGTGAAATCCTTGTTGGCACTCTCCTCTAAACAGAGTGGAAACCTCTGATCTAGTGCTTTCACTCCAGGCTTTTACAGAACTCACCATCGCCAAGTCTGTGGCCGTACTGATCAGCCACTGAGCCCAGGACTCTTCGCTGAATGTCAGGCACCATGATGTGGGGATTAAGACCACACAGTCTCTGGGGTCAGGCAGCTCAGGGAAGTATCCTGGTTCTGTCACCCGCCAGCTGAATGGCCTCAGGCACGTCCCTCACATCAGCCTTGGTTTCTCACCTGTAAGGTGGGGACTGCCACTGTCCCCACCCACCTCCATGTGGCTGTGGGATGATGCTCAGAGCTGCTGTGTAGAGTGAATGCTCTGAGCCTGGCTGGCCCTCAATGCTCCATTGACAGACGCTGCTGCTCTTCCTGTTAGACCCCAGGCCCCGTGACTGCTGTCCCAGGACCTTGGAGAATGACAGCCCCTTGTGCCTCCCCCCACACACCCCCTTTTCCCTGTTTGGCTTATTTCAGACATGGAGGAGTTTTACTGTTGTTTTTTTGATTTGTAAATTTCCTTAAAAGCCTAAAAAATTAAGCCACTTTGAGCTGTCTATGCACTGAATCCCCCTCATCGAGGTGGAGATAATCAAAGGAGAGCATCTCCACATAGTCAGGTCTGGTGGTTGCCGTTCCGCTCTGACATCAGTCATCAACCTGTCAGAGCAGGAAAAGGACTTGATTCATAGAAGCCATGGCCGTTTATGGAGAGCCTAGTCCATGCCAGGCACAGTGCTCTGCGTTTTTTGTGCAAAAGCACACTGCCCCAAGTCACACAGCCAGAAGTAGCTCAGCTGGTAAATCATAGTGCCCCCTTTCACTTAAGTGACTTGGCTCAGGTCCCTCGGCCAGGAGGGGCAGGGCTGGGACTCAAACCAGGTCCCCTGACTCGAGACCAGCACTGTTGGGGGCCGGTTGCCCTGTCACTAGCCCAACCTAGCCTTCCCCTACTTCACTCTGGCTCTTCCCACAGTGCTTGGGGGCAGCGGCTGCTCCAGGCCCCACGGTGTGTGGCGTGGAACTGGACTCACTCATCTCCCAAGTGAAGGACCTGCTGCCAGACCTTGGCGAGGGCTTCATCCTGGCCTGCCTGGAGCACTACAGCTATGACCCGGAGCAGGTGATCAACAACATCCTGGAGGGGCGGCTGGCCCCTGCCCTCAGCCAGCTGGACCGCGGCCTAGACAGGTGGGAGAGACGGGTGGGAGGAGGCTCACGGCGTCCAGCCTGCCCCGGGGCCCTTGTCAGGGGCCCTTCTTAGTTCCTCTGCCTCCCACGCCTCCTTCCCACGTGTCCTGGGACTCAACTCGCTTGCTCTTCCCCACAGCAGAGTTTCCCAACCGTGGAAGCTAATGTCCTCTTTGAGGAAACAGAAACCTCAGGCCCAGGAGGTCCTCACATGCCCCCTGCAGGGCAGAGTGGGCACCGCTGGACTGCCCTGCTCCACCTCGTAGGAAGACCCATTAGAGCCACAGAGATGTGACCAAGGGGTCAAGAGCCTTCAGAGCTCTGATATTGCTGGCCTGCCCTGTCATTGCCACCTTCCCAGTAGATTCCTGAGGGAGGACAGCCAAAGCTTCTCACTTCCTTCACAACCACCCTTCTTTTTTTTTTTGGCTGCACCGCACGCCTTGTGGGATTTTAGTTTCCGACCAGGGATTGAACCTGGGCCCTCGGCAGTGAGAGCGCAGAGTCCTAACCACTGGACTGCCAGGGCATTACCCCATACCCACCTTTTCTGAGTTGGGCCCACTGCTTCCCTGAAGGCCCCGGGAGGCAGAAGGAATGAGTGCAGGAATGGGTGTTTCTTCCATGAATAAATGTTGTTTATTGAATGAATGAATGAAGTTAGCTCTGCCTTTGGACAAGCTCCTCAGCCTCCATGTGTCCATTTTACAGGTGAGGGCACTTGAGGCAAAAAGAACTTGAGTGACCTCTGACTATCTCATAGGGCTGTTGTGAGCAAAACCTGTGTGAATGGCATGCAGGACCAAGGGACACTTTGTATGAGGGGTGGCCGCCTACCCAGGCAGGGGCAGGATTGGACAGGATTGGGCAGGTTTTTAGGCTGTGTCCCAGGTGTGGCTGTTGAAGGGGGTGGAGTCTCTGACGGATAGGACATGATGGGGGGAGTGGGTGCAGGTAGGCATCCACTAGCAAGGACCCCTGAAATGGATTTCTGTGCTGCCCCCCAGACAGGTGAAGCCAGACCTGACTCCCCTGCTGGCATCTCGTCACAACATCTTCCAGAATGATGAGTTTGACGTGTTCAGCAGGGACTCAGTGGACCTGAGCCGGGTACACAAGGGCAGGAGGTGAGTTTGGTGGACCGTGGGGTTCCAGGGACCCCAACTCTGCAAGTGCAGAGAGAAAGCGAGAAACTCAGAGCCCCCATCTTGATGGAATTGGTCATGGAGCTTCAGCTCGGGGCTCCCCCATACCTGGCACCCATGTGCTCCCAGCAGCCGAGCTCAGGGTCTCTAATGATCCCGCTTTAGGCTCCAACTCTGCACACAGAGTTAGTGAGTCCTCCTTTTTGACAGCAAAAGGCCAGCAGGACCAAAACCAGCCCCTCTTCCCTTCTTTCATCTTTGGAGGTGTCCACCACTGAATCCCTGGGTGGGAGAGCTGGGCAGTGCTTCCCAGCAGCTGCTCCTTGACCTGAATTTTTCCATCTGATGACAAAATGAGCAAATGAAGGACCTGTCCTGAGTGAGCTTTTCAGAAGTGAATGTATTCCATTTTAAGGCCTTTCCACTTATGTTTGATCTATGTCCTTCTTACTTTTTTGGCATTGAAAAGTCCATTCATGATTTATTCATTTATTCAACAAATATTTGCCTGGTGCTTCTAGGCCCTGGTTTTATTAGGTGCTGGGGATGTGGTGGGGAGTGAAACAGGCAGGGCCCCTGCCCACGTGGAGTTTGCACTAATCAGCTTGGCAAACAAGCAACATGAAATTGCAGATGAAAAAGATTCTCCAAGGTGGAGGTGCGCAGACTTCCAAGCCTCTAGTCGGGGCTTCAGTCCAGGCAGAAAGGCTCCTTGGAGAAAATGATGTGGGAATGACTGTGGAAGGACGAGGAAGGGTCAGTTGTGCAAAGGGGGCAGGAGAAGCTTTCCAAGCAGAGTGAACAGCAGGGGTGGTGGCCCCGAGGACGTGGGAGCATGGTGAGGGTCGCCTGAGCCGGTACATTATATGTTTTGGAAAGATCACCTGGCTTTGGAATGGAGACCCCTTGGAGGGGCTGAGAGTCAGCAGCCACATGGCATGATGGAGAATGGCGGGATCAGACACCGTCAGCCCTGCACTAGACCCCCAGCGTTCTCCTGCATGGGGCTGCTTCACGGAATCCAGAAATCTAGGAACTGCTGGATGAGTCCAGCCCGCCCTCTCCCCCAACACATAGATGGAGGTGGTGAGGGTCAGAGAGGAGAGAGGACCTGCCCCGTTCTTGGGATAGGAGCCTCAGTGCCAGAAGCTCAAGCTGTTCCCCATTCCCGGGGCTGTCCAGCGCTAGAAGCGTGGCTGATTGCTGGCCTGGGTACCCGGCACAGGGCAACTATAAAGCCATCTGGCTGGCTGGACAGGAAGCATTTGCAAACTGCTTAGTCACACACGTTGCAACATCCCCAGATCCCAAGCTGGCGATGTTTTCCTGTATCAGTGGCCACTGTTCCAGGCCAGAATGACCCAGCCATGGGGAGAGGGGCAGACGAGGAGGGCTGTACCCCTGCTCGAAGGAGCTCCCGGCTGCCTGGCAGAGAGACCAGGTAGCAAATGTTTACTGAGCTCGTTGTGCCGGGTAGCCCGGGCAGAGTCTAAGTGATTCACTATCTCCAGATCCTGTGCTAGAGACACCAGGAGACAAGGTGAGCAAGGTGCCCAGCCCTCATTCTCAAAGGGCACAGAGACCCTGGGAAAGACTTAGGACATTAAACAGGCTGTGACAGAGTGGAGAGGTACCAGGATGGGGCACGGAGGGACCTCAGTGGGGACCCCTGTCCTGATGCGGGCAGGGCAGTGGGGCTTAGGGCCTTGGCCCTGCCTTCATGGAGCATGTGAGAAATTAAGTAGCACAAGGCAGATCACCCTTGAGTTAAAATGTGTGTGTGTCATTAAACCAGATACGATATACTCAGTGGCTCAAGTAATAAGGAAATCTGTCCCCTTGCGTGACAGGCAGTCACAGGGTAGGGAAGTCTAGGCTTGGTTGACCTGTGGTGCAGCCACATCATCAAGGGTGCATCTTGCTCCCTCAGGGCCACTGGATAACTGCACCTGTTTCAGCCGTGACGTCCAGAAATGACACAGCCAAGAGGAAGTCTGGACGAGGTCTTTCTGCATCTCTCTTAGAGGCCAGGAGACCTTTCCCAGAACTCCCCAGATTCCCCTCACATCTCACTGAGGAACTAGGTCACAGGGCTAAGGTCCAGGGCTCCCGGAAAAGGGGGAAGGGAGAGGACCTGAGCAAAAAGAGGGTCTGATAGGAGTGGGGGTGAGGTAAAGGGGGGTTGTTGGGTAGACGCCAAGCACGTGTGCCACAGGTGTATAGTAGCTAAGGAAGGAGGCGGTGTGTGTAAGGTGGGGTCCCCTAACTCCTTTGGACTGGACAGTGGTGCCCTGGAAGATAATAAGTGTTCTCTCTCAAATTAGTTCTATTGCCAAAAATGTCTGTGCACCCTGTGTGCCTCCTGGAGAGTCACAGGGCACATTAGTACATTAAAGGCTCTGACAAGGCCTGTAGTGAAAGAAATAGGATTCCCTTTGCTGAGCTCAGCAGGTGCCAGGCCCACTTCTGCTCATTGTCTGATTTCATGCTGACATCATCCCTGGGAGGCAGAACTAAGTCTTGGCAAGGATAAGGGGCCAGCCTGTGATCACACCACACAGGAAGTAGCCAAGCAGACTTGAGTCAGGAGGCCTGTGTTATGGCCCTGGCTCTGTTGGTAGAAGATGTGTGACCTTGGGAAGGTTACATTGCCTCTCTGGATCTCCTGATTCCTCACCTGGAAAAGGGGGGCTTTATTGCCTCTGCAGGCCCTTTAGAGGTTCAAAAGTGGGTGTCACCCCACTAAGGGCCAGTTTGAGTTGGGCCTTGAAGGATAGGCTAGAGGAAACAAGGAGGGAAAAGGTGGCACGTTTCAGGAGAGCCCACATGTTCCCTGGGCTTGTAGGAGGCCACGCAAGCAACTTGTTCCAAATACGGTCTCCGAAGCTACTGCTGCTTGACTGATGTTCTGGCTCTCAGATGGATCCTTTTTTTTTAACATATTTATTGGAATATAATTGCTTTACAATGTTGTGTTAGTTGCTGCTGTATAACAAAGTGAATCAGCTCTATGTATACATATATCCCCATATCCCCATGCTCTTGCATCTCCCTCCCACCCTCCCTATCCCACCCCTCTAGGTGGTCACAAAGCACTGAGCTGATCTCCCCATGTGATACAGCTGCTTCCCACTAGCTATCTGTGTTACATTCAGTAGTGTATAGATGTCAGTGCTACTCTCTCACTTCGTCCCAGCTTACCCTTCCCCCTCCCCGTGTCCTCAAGTCCATTCTCTACATCTGCATCTTTGTTCCTGTCCCCCTAGGTTCATCAGAACCATTTTTTTTTTTTTAGATTCCATGTACATGTGTTAGCATACAGTATTTGTTTTTCTCTTTCTGACTTACTTCACTCTGTGTGACAGACTCCAGGTCCATCCATCTCACTACAGATAACTCACTTTCATTTCTTTTTATGGCTGAGTAATATTCCATTGTATATATGTGCCACATCTTCTTTATCCATTCATCTGTCGATGGACACTTTGGTTGCTTCCATGTCCTGGGTATTGTAAATAGAGCTGCAATGAATATTGTGGTACATGACTCTTTTTGAATTATGGTTTTCTCAGGGTATATGCCTAGTAGGGGGTTGCTGGGTCGTATGGTAGTTCTATTTTTAGGTTTTTTGGGGGTTTTTTTGGCGGTATGTGGGCCTCTCACTGCTGTGGCCTCTCTCATTGCAGAGCACAGGCTCTGAATGTGCAGGTTCAGCGGCCATGGCTCACGGGCCCAGCCGCTTCACGGCATGCGGGATCCTCCCGGACTGGGGCACAAACCCGCGTCCCCTGCATCGGCAGGTGGACTCTCAACCACTGCGCCACCAGGGAAGCCCTATTTTTAGTTTTTTAAGGAACCTCCATACTCTTCTCCATAGTGGCTGTATCAATTTACATTCCCACCAACAGTGCAAGAGGGTTCCCTTTTCTCCACACCCTCTCCAGCATTTATTGTTTGTAGATTTTTTGATGATGGCCATTCTGACTGGTGTGAGGTGATACCTCATTGTGTTTTTGATTTGCATTTCTCTGATGATTAGTGTTGTTGAGCATCCTTTCATGTGTTTGTTGGCAATCTGTGTATCCTCTTTGGAGAAATGTCTGTTTAGATCTTCTGCCCATTTTTGGATTGGGTTGTTTGTTTTTTTGATATTGGGCTGCATGAGTTGCTTGTATATTTTGGAGATTAATCCTATGTCAATTGCTTCGTTTGCAAATATTTTCTCCCATTCTGAGGGTCGTCTTTTCGTCTTGTTTATGGTTTCCTTTGCTGTGCAAAAGCTCTTAAGTTTCATTAGGTTCCATTTATTTATTTTTGTTTTTATTTCCATTTCTCTAGGAGGTGGGTCAAAAAGGATCTTGCTGTGATTTATGTCAAAGAGTGTTCTTCCTGTGTTTTCCTCTAAGAGTTTTATAGTGTCTGGCATTACATTTAGGTCTTTAATCCATTTTGAGTTTATTTTTGTGTATGGTGTTAGGAAGTGTTCTAATTTCATTCTTCTACATGCAGCTGTCCAGTTTTCCCAGCACCACTTATTGAAGAGGCTGTCTTTTCTCCATTGTATATTCTTGCCTCCTTTATCAAAGATAAGGTGACCGTATGTGCGTGGGTTTATCTCTGGCCTTTCTGTCCTGTTCCATTGATCTATATTTCTGTTTTGGTGCCAGTACCATATTGTCTTGATTACTGTAACTTTGTAGTATAGTCTGAAGTCAGGAAGGCTGATTCCTCCTGCTCCGTTTTTCTTTCTCAAGTTTACTTTGGCTATTCGGGGTCAGATGGATATTTTCCTGCCTGGTTTTGCCCCGATTTTCGTTTCCTTCTCTGGCTCCAAATGAGGTCATGGGGCCAAAGCCACACCTTCTTGGATGGGGTACCCAGGGCACCAGGCTCCTCTGTCCTTACCTGTGTCCTCTCCTAGGACCCAGCTGGGGCAGGTGCAGTTTGCCAGGCTTCTCTGTGGTCCTGCTGGGAGCAACAAAACCAGAGGGCGCACCGTGTGAAAGAACCTCCCTACTGCCGGGACTGGGGGCCAGGTAGACCAGGAGCTGTGAGATGTGGCAGAGAGAACAGTGACAGCTCTCATCCATCCTTGGTCCCCTGGCCCAGCTCAGGGCCTGGCGCCTAGCAGGCCCTCAGGAAACGTGTGTTGATTGAATGGGTGTGCTTCTGCCAGTGGCACCAACCACCTGAACATGCTTGGCCCCTTTCATTTCCTCTCTGCCTCTTTTCTCTCCAGCCCTCGATGTGGCAAAGAGAGCCAGGTAAGGGCCGAGGCCACAGTCACATGCCCCCTTTCCTGACATGAGCTGAAAGATTCCTGTGGACCAAGATTTTTCCCTAGTCCAGACAAACGTCTCTGCACCATAGAGCCTCCATTACCCCTTCTTCAGCGCCCCCGCTAGGCCCCCTGCACCCCAGTTCATTTCTCCTTTACTTGTGTTTCCAGGACATGCTTGCCTTCATCTAGCACACTTCTACTCTTTGCCACTAGACTGAGCTCCTTAAGGGCAAATCCAGATCTTACTCTTTTCTGAATCTCTCCCTAACCCAGCTTTAGCACCCTGCCCAGCATATAGTAGGCCCTTTATAAAAACTGTTGAAGGAAGCAAATCCTAACCCGCCATGCTGGGGGCTGCAGTCCTGACCTGCACCAGGCTCCCAGGCCAGACTCAGGCGCCTGCCCCTCCCTGCACCAAAAGCCAGTTAATAGAAGATTTTTATGAATGCTACAGACTTTGTGTCTCTTCTTTTTTTTCCCCTTACCCTTGATACATTCCAGAGGCCCGATTTCACAGCTAAGCTGGATTTTCTTTCCTGGCATCTCATATTGATTTCCCCTGCAGGGCTAGAAACTACATTCCACAGGCCTATGTGTCTGACAAACCAGGTTTTTCTACAGATTTGCAAAACCCGGAGTCAAGAGGCCTGAGTCCCCAGTATGGCTGTGCTACAGCTCACTGTGTTCCCAAACACGTCTCTCCCCTTCCTTCCCCTGCACCCGACTTTCCTCCCCTGTGATATGACAGGAGTTAAACTTTCAGACTTTTTCTTGCCATGCAATCTGACATGGAAGATTGAACTGCAGGACGGATGAGACCCTGTGCTAAAGCGGGGGTGAAAGTGAGAGACCGGGACCCCTCCTCGCTCCTCACACCCTGAGGCCACCTAGGGCTCCCCTGAGCTCACTAAGAAAGCAACATGTGGCCTTGCTCTTTCTTCAGTTTGTGTTTGTTTTAAAAGATTTGGATAACCCCAGGCCCCTCCTTGGAGTAACCAGGCATTTGGCAGGGGGCTTACTAGCCCTCTCTCTGTGCATTTACGTGCATAGATAGGTATGTGCCCACAAGAGGAGACAGTTGTTCTAGTTTGCTTTCTGCTTTTTATACAGATGGGATCATACTGTGCATTTTTCTCTGCTTGCTTTTCTCCTGGAGAATGTCTTAGATTTCTTTCTCCATCAGCACAAATAGATCACCGTCATTCTTGAGAGCTGCCGCCCAGCATTCTGTGGCACAGAGGGAGCACATGTCCTTTGGCCGTTTCACCCGTGATGGACATGAGTTGCTCTCCGTCTTTCACTGTTAAAAACGATGCTGAAAAGAAAATCCCCAATCAGACCTCTGTGCACACATGGCCAGTGTTGCTCCAGGGTGGACGCCTTGAAAGGGAGTCTCCCAGCTGAAGGGGGGGCATTTTTTCCACGTTAACAGCTGCTCCTGGGGTGCCCTCTAGAGTGGCTGGACCCAGTCACATGGGCACCAGCAGCGGTGAGCCCCACGCCCCCACCAGTGCTCGATCTCGGTTTGTGGCGGCCTGAGGCAGGAAGAAGTAAGCCATGGAAGCTGCAGCCCCTTCCCATGCCTTCAAAGCCTAATGGTTTTCCTTTGTGTCTCCTTGCTGTTCCCTCTCGGTGCCAGGAAGGAGGAGAGTGCGCGGAGCCTGCTGAACGACAAGCGGGAGGTGGTAGCGCAGCGGCGGCGCTACGAGCAGTACAGCGTGGTGGCAGAGGAGGTAGGCGTCCCCAGGCCACCGGCCGTGCTGCGGGGGGAGACCAGCCAGCCCTGGGCCCCTCGGACCCACACTTCTGCCATCTCAGGTGCCAGTGCAGCCAGGGGAGGACTCGCCTTACCGCAGTGACGACTACGAGGATGAGTATGATGACACATATGATGGCAACCAGGTGGGCGCCAACGACGCAGACTCTGATGATGAGCTCATCAGCCGCAGGTGAGGCTGTCAAATTCCAGGGGCAGAGTGGCCTCCCGCAGCCTCTTGTTTATACAGATGTGGGAGCCAGGGCCCAGGTCACGTGAGCAAGTCAGTGGCAGAACCAGGGCCCGAACCCAGGCCTCCTGACTCCTAGTCCAGTGCTCCCTCCACCCCAGCCACCCCCTTGGCCGGTTGGTCCAACCTACCCTGAGTGAGGCAGCATTTATTGGGTCTCATGCAGGAGTTTTACATTTTTCTTCCTAATTGCAGAAAACTTTTCCCAATGGGATCTTATGGAGATTCCCCAATTCCCCGGTGAAAGCAGAGCTGCCCTGACTAGAGAGAACTGGAGACCCCCACAGCCCCAGCTCAGGCTCCCCAAAGCCCCCACGTCAGACCCTGGTACCCACACAGAATCCAGGGGCTGGAGCAAAGCTGGCTTCAAAAGCACTTTGGTTTTTCCCGGCCTCCTGAGCCCTTCCCCGTCCTGGCAGCCCCTCTCACCCAGTGGGGTTCCCCCTCCCTGAGGCTCACTCTCCAGGTTTACTCTAGTCTTTGATCTCACTTTCTCTCTAAACCCTCAGGCCCTTCACCATCCCTCAGGTGCTGAGAACCAAAGTGCCCAGAGAAGGGCAGGAGGACGAGGAGGAGGAGGAGGAGGAGGCTGAGGACGAGGCCCCCAAGGTACCTCCTTGGCAGGTGGCAGGTGAAGGGGAGGGTACACTTCTGAGAGGTGAATCGGGATCTGTGCCCCCCTTCTCTGAACCTGGCCTTGAGGCGGCTCCAGCATTACTGCCAGGGAGGGTGGGGGTCCCTCTGAGCCCGGGATGTCTGCTTGGAGAGCTGCTAGCTTAGAACCCGCCTCTGCTGCCCAGTGAGGGCCCGGAGGATGGATCAGAGGCCGGGCCTTCGAGCTGCTGGGGTAATTAGGCCTGGGGCCCAGGAGAGGGACAGCTGTTGGCCTCTGTGCCCAGGTTGGCAATTCTTGAAATCAGAGAGGCGTTAGAGCCCAAGGGCCCTTTGGAGGTCATCTGGGACGATGGGTTTGAAAATTCAGTTTTTTAGCCACTAAACTTTTTCTTCAAGTGAAATCTTAACTGGAGCCTCATATAAAATAGATAAGAGCAGCGCTGCTCAGGTTGAATGGGGCAGCAGCCTGGGACCCCTGGATGCCCCCCCATGTCCTCCCACCAGGGTGACAAATTCAGACATGTCCGGGGCCAGGCCACCAACGTAAATGAGTAGCGGGGCCTGATGGAAACTGAGGTGGGGGGACACACGTGCCCTGCCCAGGGGCTCCTCAGCACTGTGGAGGCCCGGACCCTCCAGGGCTTTCCCTTCTTCCAGGCAAGGGATCAGCCTGGATTTTTATGTCAAATCCTGAAGTTTTCAAAAGTTACTAATTCCCCTTGTTTTGTTGTTGTTTTTGTGAAACAGCCCGGGCCCCCAAAGCCTGTCTGTGGTCCTTGGGTCCCGCTTTCTCCCGCTAGTCCAGTCTCTCCCCACCTTGGCACAGGGCGGGCGCTCCCACAGCCCATTGCTTGTGGCGCCAGCGGGGAGAGGAGTCATCTTCCAGGGCGCTCTCTTGGGTTTCCAGGCCCCGTGTGGTCTCTCATGGCGGCCATCCTGGCCTTCCCCCATTGCTCCCACCTGTCATCATCACGCTCCTGCTATGATGGAGCCATCTTTAGCTGCCTCTCTTCCGGAAATTGGTGGGAGGGTCAGAGGAGGGGCTTCTGGTGGAAACCTTGGACCATAGCAAGCCAGCTGCATTCTGGGGCATTGCCCAGCCGCACTGTGGCTTAGCCCCACTCCTGGCATAGGGGTGTCACCAGGATTGGGCCAGGTGCAGCCTCACCTCAGCTTAGGGAAATGGAGCAGCTCATGATTCTTTTCTCCCCTCCCCTCCACAGCCTGACCATTTTGTGCAGGACCCTGCAGTGCTGCGGGAAAAAGCAGAAGCCAGGCGCATGGCCTTCCTGGCCAGGAAGGGGTGAGCATTTAATAGGCTGTGTTGGTGGGAGGGGGAAGCCCAGCCAACCACACAGGAAGCCCACACACAAACCCCAAGTGCTTTACATGTGTTAATTTAGTTCTGGCAACAGACCTATGAAGTAGCTACTATTACCATTATCCTCGTTTTACAGGTGAGGAAACTGAGGCCCAGACATGTTAAGTAACCCGCCAAAGGTCACACAGCTAGTAGGTGGCAGAGCAGAGATTGAGTCCAGGTGGCCTATCTCTGGGGTCCACACTTGTAACCATTACTTAATAGACACTACAAGGGGTTTATCACCCAGTGTGGGAGCATGATGTGTCCACGGCTCGCTGGTGTCAGGCAGAGTGTAAAATCTGGGAGAGCCCAGATAGACAGACAGGCACATATCCTTTATGGCCGAGAGAGGCATGTTAGGGACGGGGCATGTGAGCTGGGCCCTTAAAGGTGGAAAGTGTGCAAAGGAGTTTTTCATGTGAGGGGAAAAAGGCAAGAAAGCTCAGGGTGGTCAGGGAGGGGGGTCTTCGGAGGGGAGCTGGGAACAGGTAACTAGAGACTCCTCTAATTCACCCCGTTGTCTTCCTGGGGGTGGGGTGCAGTCCAGAGGGGCCAAGGACCTGCCCCAGGTCCCTCTTCCACTTAAAGCCAAGCCAGGGGTTTCAAGCCCAGTCCCCCATCCTGGCCCTGGGACTCCCACAGCCCTGCGCACTGGGTGCAGGGGGCCTAACCAAGTGGGGAAGACGTTGGATCTCATTCTGAAGGCAGCCGGGAGCCACAGAAGGTCGTTGAGCAGAGAGCAGAGTGACTCTGACCTCTGATCCATCACAGCGCCCTGAGCACAGAGCTCTGGGTAAACCCAGCAGCTGATGTGGTCTGAAGAGGCCCAAGGTCATATCTGAGTGTACTTGGTCTTGGGAGGCCACCAAGCAAGGCCCTGGGGTGTAGAACTGGAGTCCTACCTCATCTGTATCACGTGGCCCTGGGTGGAGAAGAGAGGGGCCCATCCCCAGGCCCTCGTCCTCTCTGCACTGTGGGCTGCGTTCAGCCCACTAGCTGGTCCACCCTCAGATCTTAGCCAGAGGCCCATCGGGAGGCAGGGCTCAGAGGAGAGTAAACAGAGGGCACGGCGCTGGCTGGAGCCCCCACAGCCCTGCCCCTGCTGGGCTCCATTTCTCCTCCCCCTGGAAGCTGGGATGGGGGTATCCTGGCCCAAGCTTTGGGTCCTCTCCCAGGGACCTCCAAGGAAGGCAAAGGGCTCTTCCCATCAGGGCCTCCTCCTTCGGCTGATGGGTTCTTGTGGGGGCGGGTTGTTCCTCCCTCAGGTACCGGCATGACAGCTCGATGGCAGTGGCTGGCAGCCCCCGGGGCCACGGGCAGAGCCGAGAGACAACACAGGAACGCAGGAAGAAGGAATCCAGCAAGGCCACACGAGCCAACCACAACCGGAGAACCATGACTGACCGCAAAAGAAGCAAAGGCATGATTCCATCCTGAGGCCGCTGCAACAGGGCCAGCTGGACCTGCCAGGCTGAGGTACCATAGCCTGGGGCCTCCTCGCCAGTTGGCCCCCTGCCAGGCCCCAAGTTCAAGTCCACCCCTCGACAGCCTCAGCTTCGCAGCCCCTGAGAAGGCTGCCTCGTTGTCTGCCAGCCAGCCATGAGCGCCATCCTGCAGAACACACAGTGCCTTATCCACAGCAGAGGAACTGAGCGGCCAGCGCACAGGTGCAAGGGACGGGGTTGGAGCCCCAAGGCCAGCCCCCAAACCTCGTGCAGCCGGATACCATGTCCCTTTCTCCCTGGACAGCAGGAAACCTGTGTATTCAAAAACAAAAAAAAAAACACAAAAAAAGCCCTGTGAATAAAGTTTTGACCCTTTCAAGAAATGATCCATGCCGGGCCTGTGACCCACTCCCCCTGTGTCCCAGTGCTTCGATGACAGCCACCGTCAGGAGAGGAAGGCGGCAGGGCGGTGCTCTTTTCATCAGCCTTTCATGTTTGCCTCTTATTTTCACCCCTCCTGATCTCGCTCTGCTTCACTGTGTGGCCCAGAGAACATCACTCCCTTCTCTGAGCCTCCGGTCCCTGCCTGCAGAAGCAGGGGCTGAGTGTGTGAGGCCCTGCAGTCCTTTCTGTGAGCTCGTTCAGTCCCCATGACTGCCACCCTAGGAGGTAGGTAGGTACGATTTTCAGCCCCATAGTACAGATGAAGGAGGCCAGGCACTGAGAACAGCAGGTGGCTGTCCGCCCACAGCTAGGAGGTGGGAGAACAGGGATTGGACACCCAGTCTGACCCCTGGCCTTTTCAGGGTCCTGGGCCCCCACGGGTGGTGTCATCTCCATCTCATAGCTGCCCAAGGATGGTTGGCCAGTGGCCGAGCCAAAACCAGAACTCAGTGCCTCCTGGTTGCACAGACGTTCCATTAAATCCTCCAAAATCAAGGGGTCGGAGACAGGAAGAAACAAGTGACGATGTCACTACCAAGTCCTGTTGAAGCGAGTGGGACTTGGGCCTTGTTCCTCAAAGCCCCCTCCCAGGCATGGCCAACCAGCTCCTAGCATGGCCGCAGCTGCCAGACGTCCCGATTCTTGGGCCACCCAGAATGTGGCTGATCGGTGGCGGATCAGCAGCAGGGCATTTGCTGGGCTGACCCCCCGCCAGCCTGGCCCGGAGTCCATCACTGGAAGCCAGGGCCCCTGCCCAGCTGGACCTTGACAAATCACCCTAGATGCTAGTGCAATTTATTTGCACGTGGTTAGGATGAGCGTCTGAAGCAGCAAGGCAGACAGGCACTTGATGAATTGGTTTTGTTAGGTCAGCCTGCACAAGTGGAAATCAATAGCAATTCCTCTGTCACGCCAGTTCTCTCGGTGTGTTTGAGATGCAGAGTAGATATGGGGGTGGTGTCCTCCCCTCGCGCTGTCAAATTAGCTGAGATCAGGCCCAGGGACAGCCGTCTTGACAGGCAGCAGGAAGACTCTGTTTCCTCCTGGAGGCATTTGCCAGGGACCCAGCTCAGTGGCAGGCCCATTTTTTTTCTCTCTCTGAGCTGCTCAAGCCCAGCCCTTGGCCCTGGAGCGAAGTAAGGTGGGTTGCGGGGGACTCCTTCGCTTTACCTGCCTTACCTGTTACTGTTTATACAGCCCCTCACACCTTCACTTGTCATCTGTACCTCCTGACCACCTGGAGTTCAGGCTTCACGTTAGCGTCCTGGTTTAAACGATTTGAGAAGACGGGGGATTTTTGAAAATTTCCAGAATGTAGTGCCAGGTCCAACTTAATCTCCCTTGAAGAATCACCTCAAGGTGATTTTCTATTTCAGATCATGAGGGCATCCTTTCGGGCTTGCTTTGGAAACAGCTCAGGGGTCATCCAGAATAGTGCTGGCAGACGTACCCCTTCACCTCTTCGGGCCTCGGTTTTCCTACATATAAAGTGGGTACATTGGACCAGATGAATGGTTTCCATTTGGTGCCAATTAGATCCACCGAGGAGGCCCCAGGGTTTAAGATGGGCAGCACTATAAGTGAAGTGGGGTGGAGGCTCTGAACCCTGCCCACTCACTCACTGGGCCCTACCACCCCCATGACTGCTCCTAAGCAGGAATTTTCTAAGTGCCTTCTCTGTACCCTGGCAGAGAACATGACTATCACAGGCATTTCCCAGGAAGCTTTTAAGACCTGTGCCTCCAAGAGGACTTAAGATTTGAGTGTCTTCGTCTCCAGTCCATGATTGGCAATGACGGTGGACATGTCAGTTTGAACAGTGCACCTATGCCTCTGTGAGGTGGGTGGGCGGAGCCATTCAAAGGGGCCCCGGCAGCCCAGGGAGGGCAAGTAACATGCCCGGAGCCCATGGATACAGATCCTTTCTGAGTGGCCCTCTGAGATGGCTAGGTGCAGTTTGGAAGAGTAAATACTTGGCAAGAAACTGCCTGTCCCAGCCACACCAGAAGCTTGGGTTAAATAATACAGGGAGAGAAACAAACAAACAAAAATAAAAGTTAAACCCACCAAAAATGCAGGGGGGTGTTGTGTAGCCCTTTAACATGATGTCAATGAATACTTGGTAGCAACATGAGAAACTAAATATTCAAGAATTTTTTTTTTAATTTAAGAATACATGTGAAAGCAGAATCCATGGTAATGCACCATGATTGTGAAAATGTTAGAAAAAAATTTTTTTTGCATTTTTCCAAGTCTGGAAGGGATTGTGTGTAACTGAAAATGATGATAAGAGCATGGACGACAATGGTGGTGAGACCACAATTATTTGTAATTAGAATAAAAAGCACTTAACTGTGGCCAGAGTTTCTGCCCGGCTCATTCCTTGCATTATCTTGTTTAATCCTCACACAGGAACAGATGAGAAGACCCGAGGTACAGAGAGGGTAGGTGGCCTGTCCAAGGTCACACATTTAGCAAGTGACTGAGGGAGGATTTGGTCTCAGGATTGTCTCCTAAAGCCGACTCTGAACCCCAAGCCACCTACCATTCATTTCCCCCACACCCGCATCCTTTTTTTTTTGTGTGGTACGTGGGCCTCTCACCGTTGTGGCCTCTCCCGTTGCGGAGCACAGGCTCCGGACGCACAGGCTCAGCGGCCATGGCTCACGGGCCCAGCCGCTCCGCAGCATGTGGGATCTTCCCAGACCGGGGCACGAACCCCTGTCCCCTGCATCGGCAGGCGGACTCTCAACCACTGCGCTACCAGGGAAGCCCCCGCATCCTGTTCTTACAAAGAAAGAAAAATACAAGTAGTAGCTGCAGAACAAGAGGATGGGAAATGCCATTTCAGCAGACCAAGCTGGTGGGACTCTGATTACATGTATGTTGGACTGTTTGATATTGTCCCCCAGATCTCAGATGCTCTGAGTTCCATTTTTAAACTTTCTATTTCCAAATTCATGTATCCTTTCCTCTGTGTGTCCAGTCTGCCATTAAGCCCACTGAATGATTCTTCATTTTTGTGTCCAGTCTCTCTAGGGCTGGAGGCTAAGATGGGGCTAGCAGAGGCTGGGGAGCACTGAGACCTGGGAGGGGGCCAGGAGGTGGGAAAGTCAAGAGATCCAGGGTGAATGTGGAAGGGGGGTGCAGAGAAGAGGGAATGCAGTGTTAGGCTGCAGTTTAGAGGTCAAGCAGGCTAAGAATGGGGCTCACTGCACAGCTTTGCCAGGAAGTCGTGGGGAGATAGCCAGTGGGAAGAATGGGAAATGAGGAAGAGGAGGCAGGAGAGTGGGCCCACCTAAGGAGGAACTTGGCATCAAAGAGAAGGAAGAGGGGGCTCAGAGGTGAGGAGGGAGTGTTGGCATCCAGAGCATGTTTATGGGATCTTCAGAAGGAACTGGGGAGGTGCCTAGGGGACCCACCTTGGGGACACTAGTCCCCAGGGAGGGGAAGGGTGGAGCCAGAGCCCCCGTGGAGCTCTCAGATCAGCCCAGTAGAGCAAGGGGCAGCCTGGCATCAGCTCTTACCTAGATCTCTGTGCCGGGGCAGCAGGGAGGGGCCTTGACCTCAGTCAGAAGCTATTGCAATTCTGCAGGCTGAACCGAGATGAAAGATTCAGTCTAAAGGTTACCATCTCCAGTCCTGTGTGTGTGTGTGATGAGGGGTGGAGGGATTGTAAAATGAGCATTAAATTCCAACTTCACATCATACTAGAAATTCTCTTCCAACAATCGATAATCACCAAGAGAATTTTACACAGACTGGCAGAACTGGAGAGCCTTAAAGGGCATTTAGTCCAGAGTTCTTCAACCTATTTAAAACCCCTAACCTGCCCCAATCTCAGGCCCTGGGATTTTGGATTCCACCTCCTCCCCGGGGGATGGGGAAGTTTGCCCTGCTTAAGAATTCACTGGGCTCCTGGGGGTCTCTCCCAGCCCTGGAGGTGGTGTGGAGCTTCACTTGCTTTGGTCTGAATTACAAAAACAACGGGTCCTTAATTCTAGTTCTCCACGTATGAAATTATGACATTGAATATGCTCTGTCTGGCTGCGTGAGCCCACCCTCAGCAACCTGACATGTCCCTTAAGTGTTCTGCCATCCCAAGGGGGTAATTATGGTTTTCTCCTCCTTAAAGTGGTTTTCATAGAAGATCCTGGCAGAAAAAGAGCCTCCAGCAGGATGAGCACCAATCATTCCTGTACACTTAGGAATTTTATTTACAGAGATTACACGCAGGCACCCACCCTGTCTCCCATCTCATGGTCTGATCTACTTAGCATTCTTTCACATGCACGTTCCCAGGCCTCACGTGTCCATCCTTTTTATTTTTAATTTGCTCATAAAGGTGGCCAGGGGTGGTGAAAAAAAGCACTGGATGGAGGGTGAGGAGGCTGGGGCCCAGGTTCTAGACTTCAATAAGCTGGGTGACCTTATGTCAGTCACTCGGACTCTCTGGGCCTTGATTTCTTCTTGTGCGAAACAGGGATGATCATTCTCTAAGCCCTCTTGCCTCGTGGGGACCAGTAACTGTGAGGGTCAGATGAGGTCACAACTGGGGGACACTCTGACAGCAGTGGACTTGTTCAGTTGGGAAAGAAGAAAACTGGTGGGCAGCCCTCTCCACTCTGCATTTGTCCAGCCCTGCATTACTCTGCTCTCTTTTAATCACCTTGCCGCAAACCTCTTTGCACAAATCACCTGTTATTTCCAGGGGAGGCACATTTCTAAACGTGGGATTCTGGGGTCCCAGGGCCACGAACAGTTTTAGAGCTGCCTCTATCTGTATTTTTGCTGACAGCTCCCACCAGGAGGACAGAATCGGGGATGGCTTTTACCTCCGTGGGCAAGTTCTTTCATGAAACAGCCTTCCCCACAGGCCCCTGCCTCTAGGGAGCCTCGGGAACAGTCGAGCTGAGACCCCTTTGGATGGGAGTTTGATTAGTGGCAGGTGAGGCTGCCGTCTCTTCCTGTGACAGGCTCACCAGGTCCACATGACGATGGGCAGAGCCCCGCCCCCAGGTCCAGTCAGCCTCTGTCACAGGAGAGGAGCAACAGGTGAGGACCAGCTTGGTGACCTGCTAAAGGGGATGCACGTGGCTTGTTACACCTTGAAAACCAGACTCCCCTGCTCAGGAGGGGTCCGCACAAAAAGGCATTGGTTCCTCCCTGAGAGTCGTTAACTCAGAGTAACATGCAATGGCCAGGCCAGAACTTTTCCTTGAGGATCTGGGGCTTCTGAATGACTAGTAGCCTATTTTGCTTTTGCCATTCAGAGCAGGGGCCAGGCTCTGGGGTCAGAAGCCAGCTGGCCTCAGCCACTGTCAGTCTGTGTGACTCTGAGCAAGGTGGCCTCACCTCTCCGAGCCACAGTTGTCTTGTCTGTAAATTGGAGATGCTGGCAGGATGGCTGGGATAAGGCGTGTACAGTCGTGGCCTGCTGTGAGGTGGCCAGTGAACTCGCAGGGCCCTGCTCACAGGGACCCAGGTGAAGGGTGGCGGGTGCCTCCCACCAATGCTCCAGCCAGCTTTCTGGGCACCCCACGTCTCAACCCCTCAGCACAGCTGCCCTGACTCCTCCAGGGCAGTCTTCCCAGAGGCCTCTGGGCTCAGGATGACCTAGACACACAGGAGCCAGAGAGAGAAGAGGACAGGTACAAGTCAGCCTGGTAAGTATGTGCTGGGTGCCCTGGGAGCCCAGAGGAGGTGTCCAGGGGACTGTAAACTACCTCACTGAATCCTTGAAACAAAGCCAGTGATAGGTGTGATTATAAGCCCCATTTAGCAGGTTAGTCGCTTGATAGTGGCTAAGTCAGGATTCAAACCCAGGTTTGCCAGCCTCCAAAGTCCCTATTTTCAGCCTCTTGGTTTTCCTACCTCTCCATAGCTTGGCACTTGAACCGGAAGCCACAATACTCTACATGCGGTTGGCTTAGCATGAAAAAGAGGACCTATCACCTCCTTCGTTCTAAATACCATACTTCTGATGATACAACCCCTCTAATAGAGTCATTCCATTGACAGAGGGGCAGGGGAAAGGAGAGGAGAGTAGAAAGCCAGGCAGGACCTATTTTCCAAATCCCTACTCTGCCACAGTCTCCCGTCTGCCAGTGGAAGGAAAGGATAATCATTGGACGGCGCAGTTTGAAGGAGGGGTTTCATAAGGAAAGCTTAGTGAACCAAGGATACAAGGCATCTCGTGGAATTTCAGCCCCAGGGCAGGAAGTGGCTTCTCTGTTGGAAGCCTATACAGGAGGGAGACAGAAGTCTGCTTTGACATCAGGAAGGAAGGAAGATGGCCGGAAGCAGAGGACTCTGTTACACAGTGAAAGGTGTGGGGAAGAGATAAGGTCTGCCTGAGGAAGACACGAGGCTGCTGGGTTTACAACAGTGCTAGAGATACCGAAAACAAGCTTGTCAAGGGACACAGAGGGGAACACAAGAAAGTGATCCATCCTCAGAGGGATGGAAAGGAGGTAGGGAACGTGGTTTTAAAGCAGCTGGGACAACGGTGGTGTCAGGGAGGGGTCACTTGGATGATTGTGTGCACCAACAAAGACCCAACGCAGCCAAAAATAAACAAATAAATAAATTTATTAAAAAAACAAACAAAAAAGAATGAAATCCAAACTCTTTTAGGGTGGCCTACAAGACCACACAGCATCTGACCCTATCATTCCCTCTCTTCCTTCAGTCCAGTGACTAAACCAAACTCACATCTACCTCAGGGCCTTCGCACTTGCTGTTCTCATTTACAGGAGTGCTCTTACTCTGGGTCTTTACCTGACTGAGATTTCTATTCAAATCGCAGCTCAAATGTCATCTCCATAGAGAAGACTTCCTTGACCATTTAATGTTGCTCTTCAAACCTGAGTCACTCCCTATATGTTACCCAGTTTTATTTTCTTCATTTATTTATTTATTTATTTATTTATTAACATCTTTATTGGAGTATAATCACTTTACAATGTTGTGTTAGTTTCTGCTGTATAACAAAGTGAATCAGCTATATGTATACATATATCCCCACATCCCCTCACCCTTGCGTCTCCCTCCCACCCTCCCTATCCCACCCCTCTAGGTGGTCACAAAGCATGGAGCCGATCTCCCCTCCCTGTGCAGTACAGCTGCTTCCCACTAGCTATTTTACATTTGGTAGTGTACAGATGTCAATGCTACTCTCTCACTTCATCCCAGCTTACCCTTCCCCCTCCCCATGTCCTCAAGTCCATTCTCTACGTGCTCAGACATTTTAAATTCATTGATTTCTGTCCCTTCCTCAGAAGACTTCAAGCTCATCTGTAGGACAGTCCTTGTTCCTTGTTGTTGGCTTGTCCTTGTTCCTTGTGGGCTGGCTGCGTTAC